AGCTGCTTTTACCTCTTTACAAAAGTTGTGCGTGCTCTAGCTGTCTCCAAAGTGACCTTTAGATTGAGATTCTAGGCATTAGATTGTTACTGTAGGTTACAGGGAGACTTGATGCAAGTTTCTCATTCCTCACTCTTCCCCTTTCTCCCACCTTCCTCCCCTGCTGTGAGTAACAGTGTTCACCTTGTGAAAACTGTCAGATTACAGCTGGATAGGTGCAGTTTGGGAAATTGTGCTGTTGTGTGGGTAAAATGATTAGGTAACCTACAGTTAAACACCACTTAAGGATTGTTCCCTCTGGAACATAGAAAAAACAACTGTTGTCACCCGAGAGTAAGTAGACTTTGCTTAAACACACTAACCTAGAAAAATACATTGTGAGTGTAGTCAACATTTGTTTATTCTTTCTTACCACTTGGGGAGACATTTATTGTGTATTGCTACTCCATGTGTTATAAAATGGTTATACCATATTTATGTACAAAGATATTTTGCTGATTTAGCTTTGCTGAGTTATAAGCTTTATTAGTAAGAGATTTTGTTTATGTACAGCTAACTACACCAGTAACATTTCTCTACGGGCAACTTTCGTGTGTTACATGCTCACTGAATTTGTATTGAAAACTGATAGGTTGAATGTTGCTTAAAAAATTATAAAGAATTAGATTTAATCTTAATTTGAAGCTTACAGCTTTAAATTAAAACTGAAATGAGGGGAGGGAAGGCTAGACAGAAGGAACTCTTTTTTCAACCAAGTTAGACATTCTTGAATATTCAGTGCTTAAATCTTATGGCTTAAACTTAGTTCTACATGTTTAGTTCTCTTGTGCTGCTTTTTCTTTATTTAAAATGGTGATTTGGAATAATTTCAGCAAAACTGAATGAGATTGGAAACAATGGATTTGGAAATTTTCCTTGATTTTTTTTTTTTTTTTTTTTTTTTTAATCGTAGCTGTGAACTCCTGCTTTTGCATGGAGCAGAATGTTTGATTGAACATGACCTTACTTTCTGAAACTCTTTTCCAGTGGTTAGAGGTATCCAGATCATTCCTTGAAGAACATGTAAAATTCTAGAAAGAGTTTTTGTCCATATATGCCTGAATAGTGGTGGTAGTGTTTACTAGAGCAGGATTTCTAGAGCAATCTCTGTTGTCTAACACAGAGCAGCAGTCACACTATGTTTGACTAATGTATTAGTCTCTGCAGAAAAGTATTGCCAGGGGTAAAAACGTTTGGTGTTTCTGATCAAGATCATGCACCTAGAAAGTGGGCGTAAGAAAATGTGCTGTGTTGTTTAATTGCAGCAGGCACTCGGATGCAGTGGCAGTTGGCTCAGATTACTTACACCAATGAATTCACTTTGTTTGCTCATTTTAGAAAATTAATAAGATGAGAAATTTATGTGATTGTCGTGTGTTTAGCAGAGGCCTATGAAAACTTGAAGGAACATGGGTAGAAGATTTAAAGTTGAGAAATGTTATTTTGCTTGTTTAAGTGCATGTGAATGTTTTTCTGGTAACCAAATGTTAGCATAACAATGAAGTTGAATCTGAACTTGTCAGACTTTTACTGCATGTATTTGATTTTTTCTGAGGTCATTGATGTCCTGCACCATATTCAGGTTAAGCTAAGGGTTCAAGCTTAGCAATTAAAAATGTGTAATACTCAGTGAATGCTGTAAGTGAAGTATAAATTTATTGTAAAATTTGAAGTGCTGCTTAACCTATTTGATATTTGTAGGAAGTAATCTCATTTTGGTATTCTTTCTAAACAGTCACTTCCTCATGTTGAACTTCTTAGTGTATAAGAAGGCTGTATGCTGTACGATGGATCCTTCATACTGCACAGTATATTCAGCTGCTGCAGCATGGGTGCCTTTCCTTCCTGAAAGCCATTACTTAATAAAGCATTGTCATCTATAAGAGTGTAAGATACAAGTCATAGAGCTTAGGAAGACTGAAAAAACTAGCTCAAAATGGATGAAACATTCATGTGTGCACAATAAAGATACTGCAAGTATATTGTGTGTACTTACACACAAAGACTCCCATTCTGTAAGAAAAGTTAGTTAAACTAGAGAATGTACATACTGCATACAGGCAAGCCTCCCGTAATCCAACCTGGCAGATTTTGACAGAACTGAGGATGGAGATTTTATATGCAGTATTTCAGAATTCTGTTGCTAGTGAGGAAGTCTGAAGGAATTGCTTTTAGTGAAAGCAACACTCCCCCAGAACTCTTAATAGCTAGAAAACAGAAGACTGTATCCACAGGAAAGTACTTTTTTGTTTTGTAAAGTAAAACATTTTTTTTGTGAAGTGATCTCTTGTTCCTCTCTTTCACCAATTCATGTAGCTAGCAAAATAATTTTTCCATCATCTTGTGGGGGGAAAAAACCCACCGAAAACCAGTGACAAGGAAAGATCTTGCTATAAACTTACTGTACACGTACTGTAAATGTATCTGAAATAACTAGCATGCTGTTCATTTATGAAAAGATTTTCTCCATCTTATTTACTACAAAATGCATTATGAAGTAATTCATCTGTGCTAATATTTCTCAAAAAAATTTTTTTTGAATGACCAAAAATAATTGCTTGTTTTTACTTTAGCAGCAGGTAAGCTCTCCTGTTTATGTATAGGGGAATTTCAGTGCTTATATACTGAATAGTAATGTTAGAACTTAGTACATATGTATTGTTTATATGTGGTATTACCACGTATGGGATGACAAATTATAAAGCAGTGCCACAGGAGAAGGTGATTCTGTCTTTTCGAAATTAATGTGCATTTTTATTGTGGATATTTTCTTGGGAATGTTTTGGAGTTAGTTCAGTGCATGGAATGATGTTCTGAGGTTCCTGTGAGGGACGAGGAGAGAAAAGCACTGACTGTATGCATGTAGTGTGTGTTAGTGTTAGAGCTTTTGGAATCGAGATGGCTTTCAGACAAGAGTTTGTGTTTTCTATCTTGCTTATGGAAAAGGAATTATTTTAAGTTGAATATGAAGCTGTCTTATAGTCACTACCCTAGCAGCAGGAGATTTAATAAACTGCAATAACAGACATTCGTGGCTTTTTACTTTTTTGACTAACTCCTTTTTTTTGTTGCTGTTGTTTGCTGAGTAGTTACGGATGCACGCGTGGCATGACGCATTCTAACTTTGTGTTACAAAAAAAATGGTGGGAATTCAAATAAAAATTCAGCTTATATTTTACCTCATATTTGTGAAGAACAGAAACAGCAACAACAACAAAAAGGGAAAATTTTCATGATAATCCTCTCCTCTCCAAATTACTTTCCTTTTATAACTGTTGGTAGAAAAAATGAAAATAGCGCTATAATTTTCTGAGGCGTCATCCAGCTTTAAACTTGGAAAGGAATGCAAATCCTGTGTAGTGACATGGAAGTCAGATAATCTTAGAATTTTCTCAAATTCAGAAGTTGAGAAGTGGTAGAATTTAGGCCCTCTGGGGCTCTCTTGGGTGAGTCCCCTCACTGCCAGCTGCCTCACTGGACAGACAGCCGTTAGACGTGGGCTTCCAGATGGTCTGGGTGGGTGATGTGCTCATGTGCTAGCAGTGATGTATGAAGTCTTGATGCATGAAGTGATGGTCTTGTTTCTGAGGTGACTTGGTGCTTGGGCAGCATTCTTGTTGTAGGCAAACGTTATTAAATCTGAACTAGGGTAAACCAGGTGTGATGCTTGGAAGAAGAGTTTTCTGAAGGATTTTCAGTCTTTGTGCAGCCTGTTACTCAATTGGCAGTGTACAGTTTGTGCAGTTTGCTGGTTTTGTGTGTGCAGATTCTTTTGGAGTTGAAACTGATTGTAAACTCCCATCTCCTATATCTATGAATAAAGCAGGCTAACACAGAAAATTGTGCTGTGTCCCTTAACAGCTCACATTGCTTCTGCAGCTTGAAATACTGCTGTTGCCTGCTTTCTGCAGGGTAGGGAGTTATGTTTGAAGCTTTGACCTCTAACGTTAGAGAGCACTATTCTGAGCCCAGAGTATCCTTAGGGTCTACTTAAGACAGATGCTGGCAGATCTGCTTCCTTTGCTTAATGGATATGTTTATGTGGAGGATGTGGCACTGGAGATAGCTTATTTGAGAAAAGGAATGTAGTTGATATGTATGATATTGTGGAGGATGTGCTTTCCGGGCCTAAAACACATGTCATTTAAGTTATCAGCAGTAAGAATTTTAATTAAATCTCAATGCTGAAATTTCATTTGTATTAATGTAGAATAGGTTGGGAGTAGCTGTTCTATTCTGTTCAGTCATTGTGGTCTTATTCACTGGAACAGTGTTTATATAATACTTAAATTCATTGCAACCCCCTGAGTATATTTTAATTTCACTCATTTCACAGTTATTTTTGATACAGAGAATGTACATTTAGGAAGCATCAGTGCAATTGTCTTTCCTCATTAGTTTCTTAAAACTATTACTGAAATGGTAGTATTAATTTTGTTCATCACTCAGACCACCTCTCTGTCTGCAGCACATCATCAGTGTGGATACGGTAGATCTTCCTTTTCATTTCAGTAGCATCACTTCTGCTGTATTACTGTTTTCATTTCTAATTACGTAGGCTAACTTTACACCATTAAGAGTTGCTCAGTACTACAGATCTATCTTCACTGATTTCATAATCGAGAAATTATGGAAGTACTTCTTGTAGCTTTTATTATTCTTCAGGACTATTAGGCAGTTGAAGCCATTTTACCCTAAATAGTTCATTCTAGTTTGCTTTGAAATGATCTGTGAAGTATTGTTTGGAAATCTCATTTCTAGGGAATCACTTCTCTAGAGAAAAATGTGATGGTTAGTGATCTTTCATCTCTGGGCTCATTCTTAGAGAATACCCGTGGATATTTTTCAATTACTTTACAAGGAAAGATTTTGATTCTCTATATGAAATTGGTGATACCGGTTTCACACATTCAGTTTTATAATTTAATTTCTTCTGTGTGTTTTTGTTAATCTGTTTGCAGATGTGATGCAGATCCATCTGCCCTAGCTAAATATGTTCTGGCTTTGGTGAAGAAGGATAAAAGTGAAAAGGAGCTGAAAGCATTGTGTGTTGATCAGCTGGATGTATTTCTTCAGAAAGGTATGATGTTTGTTGTGACTCTTAATTTTTAGTGAAAAGTCAAACTTTTAATGTAGAATCCTGTGTTTATTTCTTAGCTTTCTTGTTGGAGGAATGTAATTCAATGTGCACGAAGGAATAAAACATAAAAAAAAAAAAAAAAAGAGAAAGCCACAGGTGTATAGTGCAATTTACAGGTTCTGTTTTTATTCCTGGAAGAAAATTAAGAATGTTAAAAATTACTGCCTGACTTAGAAGAATCTCTCTATATATTAAAAAATGTTCTTCTAGATGGTGGATAAAAAGATACCAAAAATACTGCAATTGAATGCCTATTTGAAACATTGACATTATTGACATGTTTCTTGACCTTTAAAAGTCCTTTCAAAATATGAAGTATAAAAGCAAAGTGTTTAAAAAAAAAAAAAAAATGCAAATAATTGTTTTAACTTTTAGGTGAACTTTTTTAGTTTTTAAAAGCAAATATTAGTTTTGAATGCTGAATATTTATTTTTATTCTTTACTTTTAGAAACTCAGATATTTGTGGAAAAACTGTTTGATGCTGTGAATACAAAAAGCTATCTACCTCCACCAGAACAGCCATCATCAGGAAGTCTAAAAGTAGAGTTCTTTCAGCACCAGGAGAAAGAGACAAAAAAAGAAGAGGTAAGCACTGACATTATTTTATCTGTGCTCCTTTTTTCTTCATTCCCTTGGCTTACTTATTTGGTTCAACTTCATCACGTGTGTTTATTAACAGTCCCAAGTTTAGTCTCAGAATTTGCTCTGCAGCTTTAAAATGCCTGGCGGTTCATGCCTCGTATGTTGAGCATAGTGTTTCTGAACATAAGCTCATCGATAATACAATTTCCTGAGTAAATCAAAATGGTTCTGACTGTGCAAATGGAAATGGAGTTTCTGGGTGCTGTAGAATGTGTGGTACAACCTGCATTAGTTCTTTGCTCAGGAGACTGCTCTAATTAATGCTGCCCTTTTAATTTGCCATTCCAAATGACAGTCCTCATTCCTTCAGCTCCTTGATCCTAGAGATGTTCTGGCACTGGTGTTTGTATGGTTCTATGACCCAGAGAAGAGTAGGTTAGCCCTTTATCAGCAGCCGTGTAGGTTTGGTTTGGAGTGTTTAACCATTATGTCAACAAGGTGACCTGATGAAAAGACACTATTATGCCACTCATGGAACATTCTTGTGCACCCAAGTCATTCACTGTACCTCGATATGGATTTCTCCACCTGTACCAAAAGTAGATGTATTTTCAATGTAGCAAAATAAACATTTCTTATGCTTCTTTGTCTTCTCTCGAACGGTGTTCTGAATATTCTCAGAAATTTGAAATTTACTGTGTTATTGTATTAGAAGTAAAAATCTTGTTCCGCTTCAGCTGTTGCTGCAGACTTTGTTCAGTATTTGAGATTTCTGTATTTATTTGGTTGTGCAGCAGTCTTTAGTATAGTGTACTGATGCTTTGATCTAATGTATATAATTGAAATTCAGATAGTTAAAGAGGAAGAGCGAGAAAAGAAGTTCTCCAGAAGACTAAATCACAGCCCTCCTCAGTCAAGTTCGCGCTACAGAGATACCAGGTAATAGATTTTTCTTGATCTCTTGTATTGTATCTTTAATTGGAGAGATTTGGATTTTTATGACATTATAAATATTTCCTTTACGTATAGTCATCTATTAAATCTCAAATAAAACAGTTGCAGCTCTTATGCAAATATATTTAAACCTATAGTATGTGTTACAAGAAACTGTGTAAACTGTCTGTAAGCTTATGACTATTACTTTGGACTTTTTTGGATTTTTAATGTTAGATTTGTAATTTAAATTACAGCACTTACTCTGCACACTGTTGAGTTTGAATAGCTGTAATTTTAATTAAGAAATTTTCCGTTCAGCTGATCTTTTTAATATTTTCAATGTGCAGAAGGTGCATTTTGGGGCAAAATTAGTATTTTTACATTTAAAAATGTTCGGGATGATGAAAGTAAGATGCATAAACCGCATAAAAGTATTTTGATGAGAAAGGAAGGACTGTAGTTTTTTGCCTTCTATGTTATTTACCATTGCTGTATTTTTAGATTTTTAATTTTTGTAAGTAACAATAGGCAAAATTGCATGTTTAGAAGCCGTGATGAAAGGAAAAAAGATGAACGTTCTCGGAAGAGAGATTATGACCGAAATCCTCCCAGAAGAGATTCCTACAGGGATCGATACAACAGAAGAAGAGGAAGGAGTCGAAGCTACAGCAGGAGTCGAAGTAGGAGTTGGAGTAAAGAGAGACTTCGGGACAGGGATCGAGACCGGAGCAGAAGCCGAAGTAGAACACGAAGCAGAGGTACCAACAGTTGGTCTCTAAAATACGGTGAATGCTGCTTACAAAATTTAGACACTAGACTAAAGCACTCTGTTCAAGATGTACTAAAATTTCTGTGATGCTCTTGTTTTATGGTTAGCTTCTAGCTTTGTTTACTGTGGATATAAAGCTTATGTGATTGTGGTCTCAGTTCTTATTTTCCCTTCTTTCCCACAGTTCTTCTCTATTACCTTTGATTATGTTGGCCTCTTCTAAATGTTGTGAGACAGGCAGAAAAGGCAGAAAAATCCAATTTAATTGCATTTTCTTAAGTTCTAGGGAAACTCAGTATCTGATATCAGAATATGCAGGAATTAATACTCGCCTACAGAGGTAGGACTGGTGGAAACTACCAGTTTGTCAGCAAATTGCTTGTTAAACAGCAGAGTACAAGTCTGTTCTTTTTGTGTTATTCCCTCTTTGGTGTCTTGGGAAGAGGCTGAAACTACTATAGTAAATATGTGCACTAACACACATACAGGACTTAAGGCTTCATTCAGTACAGTAGTTTTGCTCTTCAAATTAAGCTTCTTTTTAAAGCTTTTTCATCTGAAATGAATCCTTTTCCCTTATAGTTGTTACTGATAAATTAAAAAACTGCATGAAGAGTTGTATGATCTTTTTATCCTGACATAAAGAATACAGAAGTTAAAATATTACTGTGTAGATCTCCTATTTATTATTTTTCTTTGTGAATGGCTTTGCTAACGTGGTCTTACAAGCAGGAATGCAGAGCTCCTGAAAATTAGCAAACATAAATTTTTCAATCAGCTTATTTTGTAAGTTCTATAATTATATTGCAATGTGATTAAATCTTATTTTAAGGAATTTTACTACAATTGTAATTTCTTACAGTTAGTATCCTGCAGTAAAACCATTTTTCCTGTTTCTAAAAGCATAAGGAAATGCCTGGTTTACCCATACTTGTCAGCCACTTTTAGGACGTTTTTATTAATATTTCTTTAATGTGCTGTTGTTTGAGTCTGCGAGCTTACATCATGTCTTGATCTTTTTGTTTGTTACTTAATTGATAGTAAGGTTAGAAAACAAAGGGAGTAGTTAGTATGTATTTAGAGTAACAAATCATGCTGCTGTTATATATGTCCAGGAGTTTCCCACACCTGTCAAGTATTATTACTTCTCCAGTCATGACAAGACTTTGTATTGATTCAGTGCGTGCGTTTGGATGCAGACGGAATGAATATTAACAACAGAAAGCTACAACAGTAATACGGTGTCTTGAAACATTAAAGATATATCACTTCTGTGATACCTTCAAGTAGTGATTACTTTTTGTTGTTGTTTCCCTTTATTGAAGATAGCTTTCCAAATGAAGTTCTTAGAATATATGGATTGCTACAGATGATCTACTATGCTTGAAGTTAATTAAACTTTGTTTTATTATGGGTACAGTGTACTCTGGTGGTTGACTGTGTAATTTTAAGATTCCTTTTTTTTTTTCCTGATTAAAAGCCCTGCCTGTGGCAGGGAGGTTGGAACTAGATGATCTTTGAGATCCTTTTCAGCCCAGGGCATTCTGTGATTCTATGAAAACCTGGGAATGTAGAATCATGGTATAGTTGAGGCTGGAAGAGGCCACTGAAAAACATCTAGTCCTAGTCTATTAACTGTTCTCAAAGCAGACAAACTGAACGTGTTGCTCAGGACTCTATTCATCAATTAATAAACAGCTGTAATTGTGGAGGCTCAGCTCTGGGCAATGAGTAGAACATTCCAGTTACTATTTTTATATTTTGAGATTTATTGACTTTGAGTAAATAAACTTAATGCTTTCAGTGTTTCTGGTGAAAATGTACACAATCATCCAATTAACTTTTTTTTCCCCTCTTCTTTTCAGAAAGGGATTTGGGAAAGCCAAAATATGATATGGATAGAACAGATCCATTAGAAAACAATTATACTCCAGTTTCTTCTGTAACAAATATTTCATCTGGCCACTATCCTGTCCCTACACTGAGCAGCACTATTACTGTTATTGCTCCTGCTCATCATGGAAATAACACTACTGAAAGCTGGTCAGAATTCCATGAAGAGCAGCTGGACCACAACTCCTATGGAAGACCTCCACTGCCAAAGAAGCGCTGTAGAGATTATGACGGTAAGTCTAGGCTTGTTTTAATTGCTTGCTGCAGCTGGAATCAGGCTCCTTCCTTGAAAGATAATGGTCTTTTTATTTTTCACATTCTTCCTTAATACTGCTTTTTTTTTTTCTATAATTTTTGAATGCATATTTATCCCACTCTTTAAGGACTTACCTTTTAGATATTTTTGTTAGTTCTTCTGTGTTTTCTTTCTATTTATTAGATTTATTTTATATGGATAAAGGATATTTATTGATTTTTATATAAATATTAGTGGAGTTTTATCTGTTTAAACCAAATATTATACTTGATTGTTTTGGTCATAATTAGGGCCTCACTGATGTCATCAATTATTGATTTTATTCCATCCTGTCTAAGAGAGATTAAGTTTCTAGAAGACTCAATGTTAAACCGTTTTTTACAGATTAAAAAAGATATTAAGATATTTCTCAAAATTCAGTACTTTTTTGTGCTTACCTAGATCTTATGCTGTCTTTTTCCATGTCTTATCAGTGGAAGAGACTATTGCAGTTTGTGCTGACTTAGCTAAATCCACCCAGTCAACCTCTTAACAGGATATGATTTCCCCCAATGTATTTTTCTGAGGCTTTTTTTCCTTCTGTATATTACAAATCTGAGATCTAAGTCAGTTTATATTCAGAACATTGGTTAAAATAGTAACGTGTGGGGCTTTTTTTGTTTGTTTGTTTGTTTTTAAAGAAAATAGTCTCAGTTTTGCAGGTGTCACTCATGGGAACGCATAGTTGTAAAAGTGCAGTTGTTTTAAAGTTTCCTTCTAACGCAAGCTGAGCTGCACTGTTGTGGTGTTGTCTATAGCTCTACAGAATTTTGGGAAAGGTTCAGACGGTGCAGATGGATGTATCTCTAAAAATAACATCTCCAAGCATGGCTGAAACTTTGTATCTTTAAAAGATCATCTGTACAGCAGCTTGTTATTTCCAGTTTTTGTGTACGAAGCAAACAGTACTTTGTTGGGAAGCTATGATACAGCTGTCCTCTAATCTTTACTGGATAGCTTATTGCAGCATGCTTCTCCTGTCTTCAGTTTCACATTTTGTAGTGTCCCTCTGTGGAATTAATATTTTTCTTTAACTTTTCAATTTCTCTGTAACATTTCGTGAAGCTGTACGTAAAGCTCTTGAATGCTAAAAATTCTCTTTGTTTTTGATGTTTCAGAAAAGGGTTTCTGTATGAGAGGAGACATGTGCCCTTTTGATCATGGAAGCGATCCAGTAGTGGTAGAAGATGTGAATCTTCCTGGCATTCTGCCTTTTCCAGCACAACCCCCTGTTGTTGAAGGACCACCTCCTCCTGGACTTCCTCCCCCTCCACCAATTCTGAGTCCTCCTCCTGTTAACCTTAGACCTCCAGTACCACCACCAGGCCCCTTACCACCTAGCCTTCCACCTGTAACAGGTACTTCAGGAAACAAACAAACAAAACGCGCAGTGCAAAAAGGTGTTTTGAGAATGTTAGTTATGTTTTTAAAAAAACTGTATGATGATCTCAGTGTTGTTTTTTGTGACAGTTGTTGCAGTTTGGGTTGTACAATGTGCATATAAAGTGTGAATCTTGAATAAGAAATAACATTTCAGTCATGTTTACGCAAAAGCACAGCATGGCATAGCAAAACTCAACTCCTTGAGTTTACTTGGAGAAATTGTATAAAATGACTACTATTAGAGAAGAAGAGAAAACCCTGGAAACAAACAGCTGCTGGTCATTTAATTTGTGGTACTAAAATTAATGAGAATTCATGACTGCTTTAAGTTTACACCTAAAAATAAAAACATCATTTGTCATGAATTTGGAACCTAAACAAAATTCTCCTGTGTATTTATTCATTTATTAGAAAATGCTTTGACTCAAGCACTGAAAATTATTTGAAGACTTGTGTCCTAGCTGTCATTTTTTAAATAGCAGTTTAGTGTTCATGTCATTTACATGATTTAAAAACTGTGTGATGTGTCAATTTTATGTGCCTATCGCTTTTTTCTTTTCCTTTTAATTAGCTTAAATGTTCCACTTGGTAAAACTACTTAAGAATAATTGGCATTTGATAGTACTTGTAAGGTTTTTAAACTTGATTTTCAGTTAATAGTATCTTTACTTAAGAATTTCTTTATTTTGCTTATTACAGAGAGTAACTGTCTTGCTGGGATGATCAGTTCTGCCTCTGTTAATGTTTACAGATCTGTCTGAGATATCCAGATACATGATTTTGTGTCTTTTTACACATGCATTTTACCAATAATAACTTTGAAGGCCAGCACTGACTGTTTATCTTTGGAAGAGTCCCATTACCTTTTGTAGAAATAAATAAGCTCAATATTACTATGATGATACTAATGAATTTGATTCCCCGAGGAAGTTTTATGCAGCTTTAAAGAAATTCTGTTGGTGAAAATAAATACTGGGCTAGGAATGAGATTGTAGTATACAGAAGAAAAAAAAAAAGAAGTATGTTGAGTGTTTAAATGCTTTTGTCTGTGATCTGAGTTAAGAGCCTTCTGCCAGTGGAGATGGTTTCATAGGAATTAGTGTTGTTTTATTTTGTTTTTATAGTCTTAAGAACATTTTAGATCAATTTCCATATGAGTTAGTTGAGCATAAAGTAAGTATAGTGGATAATACACAAATACATTGTTTTTCTTTTCCTCAGGACCACCCCCTCCACTTCCCCCACTGCAGCCTGCTGGCATGGATGCTCCCCCAAATTCAGCAACTAGTTCAGTTCCTACTGTTGTTACAACGGGTATTCATCACCAGCCGCCTCCTGCTCCACCCTCTCTTTTTACAGCAGGTGTAGTACTGAGGCTTTGCCCACAAGGTTTGCTAAATAGAATAACATTGATTCATACTGTAGTGTGTATAGAGATAATTTCATAGTTGATATAGATGATTGTATCATTTTTAGACTATGACAGTTACTTAACACTTTTTTTCTAATTTAGTTCAAGACAGAGTTAAAAGAAAATGCATGTGAAATGTGAATCTTGACTATGAAATAGTGTTTTCATTGTAATAATAACTTAGCATGATTGTTTTTTAAGATAGTAGTTATACAACAGACTTTTCCATTTTAACTGTTTCTTGTAATTAGTTGAAATATAACACTTGCAACCTTTGTTTTTTTAACTGCAATTTATTTTAATTAGACAATTTATTTGTTACCAGAAACGTACGACACAGATGGCTATAATCCAGAAGCTCCAAGTATAACAAACACTTCCAGACCTATGTATAGACATAGAGTACATGCTCAAAGACCAAATTTGATAGGACTCACATCAGGTGATATGGATCTGCCACCCAGAGGTATGCTCTCAAAGCTGTACTTATTTTATTTAGATTTGTAATTCAATTTACATTAATGTAAATTGAAGAACTTTTTAGAGAATCAAATACTGGAAAATGTTGCATTTTAAAAATATCTTCTGTAGGTAAGAAAAGTTAAATTAAACAGGGAATTTTTCTTATTGTTAGTTTGTGTGTTTTTTAGCAGATAAAATGTCCCCCACCCCTCCCCCTGTATGATTCCTGTTCTTCAGAAAGAGCCACTTCCTTCCCCCTTTACCCTACTGTCTTGTTCCTAGTTATCAGGGTTCTGGAATATCCTACGTTTCCTATCATAAACATTTTTGTGTGTGCCATCTAATAGAAGAATGGAGGTGTTAGAAAAAAATGGTGCAAACCTCAGGATACTGTATGGGACATTGCGAATGGAGGCAGATGCTTTCTGTCACCCTTTTTTTGTTTTCCTTTTGTATGATGTTAATTGGACAAAATGAAAGCTATTAGATGTTTTTATCATGTGTTGATAGTTAAGATTAAAAAGATCAGTCTGCAACCAAGATTTGATGCAGTTTTTGAACAAGGATCAGTTGTGTTTTTTCAGTGCAAATTCAATGCAAACAGAAAATACAAAAATTAACATTTTCATCTGTTTACAGAAAAACCTCCTAATAAAAGCAGTATGAGAATAGTAGTAGATGCTGAATCCAGGAAAAGAACAATTGGTGCAGGTGATGGTGGAGTTCCTACGAAGAAGACTTGGTTTGACAAGTGAGTGGTCATTGACACAAGGTTGGCTTAATAGTTGCAGTTCAGTGGAGATCTTTTCTGCATTCTGAAGTATATATAAATTACATAAATTGTAAGCAAGTTAAAGTGTGAATAAACTGACTGTATTAAAATATATTATAGAGAGGACTATAATTGACTGTCGTCTCTCAGAGACACTGCAGAGATAGCTAGATTTGCTTTGGATTATATGTGCTCTCTGAAAGCTGAAGTGTTGTAAGATACAGAGCCTTGCTTTGATACTCCTTAGAGATGTCTGGATTTAGTTTTTAATTTCATCATTGCCATTTTGGATTGAGTTGCCAGGTATGTAATTCCACATAGAATGTGGAATGTGGCGCTTAGTGTCCGGATGTACCTAGGATAAAATGTTGGAAGGGATTTTAAGACATTGCCGTGGTTGTGGAGAGCCTAGAACTATTAGAAATTTGTGATGGTGGTGAAGAGATTCAGAGGGAATGATTGAGAAGCAGCAGCGTTTGGAGAGAATTACTGTGGCATAGTTAGGAGTTACAACCAAAATATCATGAATTATCTCACGGATTTTTTGTGGTGAGGAAAAGTGAGTGTATGAGTGAGCACAAATGCAGATATAGAGGCCTGTGTACTGTATCCTTCAATGCTTTTCTAAAATTGTATGGGATTTGATTTTATTCATCTGCTAGACTGTGTGACATGTGCAATCCAGTGTAAGCATATAAAATTTTACATTGTATTTGTTAGCTTAGTGTGGATTTCTAGCTTGTTTCTTATTTGTTGCAGGCAAAATTTTAACAGAACAAATAGTCCAGGTTTCCAGAAGAAGGTACAGTTTGGAAATGAAAACACAAAACTTGAATTGAGGAAAGTTCCTCCAGAACTTAACAATATCAGCAAGCTTAATGAGCACTTCAGCAAATTTGGAAATTTGGTCAACTTACAGGTAGGAGTCAACAAAGAGAAGACAAATATGCTTTGGCTTATTGCTGGCAGTAATGACTAAAAGGAGAATTCCAAGTGCTTTTTAACTAATTTCCTGAAACTGCTCTTTTTATTTTCCTAACTTGTTTCTTACACGTAATCTCCCTGTTTTAATGAAATTGTCATTGATGAAGTGGAAGTGAAATGTTTCAGTTCTTATTTAAGTTTGAACGAAGTTTAGTTTTCTCCTCGCAGATAAGACTTCTAGCATAATTTATGTAAAACCTTTTAATTTTTTTGGACTGTTTTTTCTTTCTTCCTTCTCCATAAGTATGGATGTAGTGTGAACTTTCTATTTTTTGAGGTAAATCTTAATTATAGGGACCCTGTATTTCTCATCCAGAAAAGAATCCCTTTGTTACAATTGCTTTCTGGTGTTTTATCCCTGATGGTTACTTTCTAATGTATCTGATTGACTTTTTTTGTTTGTTTGTTTTGTTTTTTTTTAAACAGACATGAGCAAAAAATTAGAGAAAGATGCAGAGGAGATCCAAAAAACTAAGGTTTAACTTTGATGTTACATATTGTAGGCTGTGTGTAATGTCAGAATTTCATACAAAACTCAGCCTGATCTTTATTTGTGTTTCTTTATCAATAAGAAGTTTCAGACAGTAGTGCTTTCATGTATGCTTCCCAGCTTGCAGTGAAAGATTGAATGAAGAGCTGCAATACAGTAGTTTTGTGCACGCTGATACAACAGAGTGAACTTCCTGTGCCCATCTGAGCATGTTAGGGAACTGAAATCTCTCTTAATTGCACTTAACCTATTGAACGCTAAATAAATATCTGTCTGTGAATATGTGTGTACTAGGAGGTAGTATGGTTCTGTAAGGAAAGGAATGAGGGGAAGGGGATGAGGACGTGAAAAAGAGGGTGTTGAGGGACAGAGATTAGCAGCTGTGCTCATCTTCTGGAAGATGTAATTTTGTTCTTTGAAGGTATCTGATATAATATGTTCATATCCAAAGGAGGAAAACTAAATTGAACTTTGTTTAGCTCTGATACTAACTGTGACACTGTTTGTTCACATCAGTTATCTCAATTCCAGTGATTCTTCCTCATCTTTCAAACAGCTACGCATATTTGCATTTAGAAATTCTGTTTGACTGCTGAGATCTGTTATGTAAGTGTATTAAAGTCTATTAGTGTAATCTCAAGATTTCTTCTTGACACAAGACGTTTCAAGCAGAATCATGAATGGGAAAAGTTCATCCGCTGACCCATATTGGGTTTAAATTGTGAACTTCTCTGGAGTCTGTGGAACTATGATTTGTAGTAATTGTGACACAAACAAAAATTCTGCATGCTGTATGTTTTTTGTTCTGCTGTTTTAACTCCTAGGTTGCATATCAAGGTGATCCAGAAGGTGCCCTTATTCAGTTTGCCACACATGAGGAAGCCAAGAAAGCGATATCAAGTACAGAAGCAGTATTAAATAATCGTTTTATCAAAGTCTACTGGCATCGAGAAGGAAGTGTACCGCAAATCCAAACGACTCCACAGAAGGTAGAGGATCTAAGTCTGTTCTATCTAGAATTTTATTTGAAATAATTGCTTTTAAACATTATTTTAAAATGTTTGTAGAAAAAGTAAGCCAAATACTTCTACAATATGGAATACTTGATGGCATTCATTTCTAAATTCGCTCTTTAATTGTTTCTTTGAATTCAGGTAGAATATTCAGGAATATGACTGGGAGGTACTGAAAGAAAGCCCTTATTTGACTTAAGGAGAATACAGCTATGGTGTCATCTTATGTAATTGAGGCTTGATGTCTGAATAATGTATTTTTTTACTTTAACTAATGTAGGCTTATCTTTATTTTTTCTTCTGGTGAGTCTAAGACGGTAAAAGTTAGATTTATTTTCTTGGAAGACAATCTCCATTTTTTTCCTAAAGATGCTGCTCTTTCTAGTCTGTTTTCCTTTCCTCTTCAACTTGCATACAGCTATAGAAGATAATGGTAGAGTTCATTTTACCCAAATAAGTCTATTTTTAAATACATATCTATTCATTTTATATATATGTAGAGAGAGAGAGGAAATGCTTCCACAGTGGAATTTGCAAAAATTAGCCTAATTTTGTGGGAACAGATAGGAAAATTTTACATTTTTGGACTGATTCACATGGTGGAGCACTTATTCTTGGTTGTGAAGTGTTAGTTACAGCATTGACAAGTTTTTAAGAATATGAATCTAAGTACTGTTATGGAGCTTTGATTCATAACCTGTTACAAGCCAAGTTGGGTGTGTTAGTGTGCCTAGTGGTTCCACTAAAACATAAGGGACAGCTTGGATTTGTCCAAATCATGGATGGAGAATATTATGAGTTAGCATAGAGCGTAGAAATTCCCTTCTAATTGTATCCTGCCTTAAATGTATTTGCTATCAGTGTGGAACAGCATGTTCTATACTAAGAAAAAATGACAGAGCCTTTCTAGAAGAAATATTGATGTTGTATACAGTTATTTAATAAACAGGGTACTACAAGATTCTTTCAACTGCTGCTCTAAGTTTTTAATTCTTTTCTTGTCCTTGATGGCGTATGTCATCATCATCCAGCTCTCTAGAGCAATCCCACCAAAGGGCATTTTCAATATAGTTTCTTCTGTCCACTTATTTTGTAACAAATGTACTGCTACTAAAACTACTTCTATGGTGTGAAGACCCACCTCACTGTCTCCCCAGTGACATCTGTTAGGTTTGAGTTTGAGCTCTCATTTGTAAATATCCTTGTTACTTTATCTGAAGCTGTGTAACTCAGTTACTAAGTTTTCCTTACATACAGTCAGCCAGAAGAGGGCAGTGCAGTATATCATTTACTTACTCTCTCAAACAGGATAGCTTGAGAAGTCATTGCCATCACCTTATTTGCTGATAATGTTATCCAACTTACAGTGTAAGATGTACTGAAAACCAAATATTTGGTGTGTTACTCAAAATAAAGTATTTGCGACATTTTTGCAAAATCACAAATATACAGCTGTAAGAATTCTCAGGAGTTTTTAGTCAAGTCACTAGTTTCCCAGTGCACCATCTTTGACATGTAAATCTTGGTGGTTTGACAGAGTTCCTCCAGATGTCTGGTCACGTACTGTGTCAAGAAACTACAATTCACAGTCTAGTGTGGAAGGTGGAGGCATGTGGTCAGTGACAGAAAATGTGGAAACAGGAAATTTAAAATTTGGAATGCAGGACTTTCATGTTCTTGTATACCAAATTACAAAAAAAAATCATTGAATGAATAAATATATATTTTTTTAATTTGTAAGCTTTTTTGGGGTTGGTGAACATCAACTTACCTTTTTATTTATTATTTGATATCATAGCTACAGTTAGTACAGGTTCTTTTAAATTACTTCACGTATAGCTGACTTTGCTCTGGAGTAAAGGAATGGATTAGGTGGCCTCTGAATGGTTTCTTCTAGTTCTGTTTTTGGGTTTGTTTTTTTTTCCATAAATAGGATGAGAAGCTTGGTCAGAAGCATCAGGGCTTTTGTTTTGTTTTGTTTTTGTCTTAAGTATTTAACTAATATTTTTTTCAAATTAAAAGTTGTTATCTGTCAGGATATAGTGATAGTATGTTCAAAGATCAGCTGCTCTGCTTATTTCCTCAGTCCCACTAGTTTTCTAGTCATCCTTTTAGAAGGTAAAGAATGATGTATCAGTGTAAAAAGTGAGATACAGGCTTATGATACAGGTTTGTGTTTTGCCTTTCTACAGGTGGCTGATAAAATAGATTGGAGAATCACTTTAGGCCACTTTTTGTTACTTCTAATGTGGACCTTAAGATAGTCTAAGTTGATGCAATTAATGGCAACTCTGTTGTGAGCTGCATGTGCCAAGTAAATGTTATAGCTGTGTGCACTATAGTCAGTGCAGCGTTCCAAATCTCCTGATGTGTTTGTATTTGCTCTCAAGTGGAAAGCTATTGATTGGTAGGAAAAAATGTAAATCTAAATGCTGTTGCAGGAATTTTATATATTTGTTGGACTGCATATGTAGTAGTCTTTTGTTACTAATATTGCATTGTGCTCTTTTTGGGATGGGGGTGTTACAGGTAATACAGCCCTTAGTTCAACAACCGAGTTTACCAGTAGTGAAACAATCAGTCAAGGAGCGATTAGGTCCAGTACCTGCAAGTAATATTGAACCTACGGAAGCACAGAGTGCCAATACAGAAGTCACTCAGGTAAGATCTATTAAAAAAAAAAAAAAAGATCAGGCACACATATTTCTTTTTCTATAATAGGTTCGCAGCGTATAAATATATGCTAGTAAGTCTGTCAATGGAAGTTATTCATACAGTGTAAATAGGCATTGAGTGCTTATAAGTGCATATAGTTTGATTGAGCAGCATTTCTATATCTCAGTTTTTCCTAAATGCACTGATATTTGGCTTTCTTAACCAAGTTATATTGAAAAATTAAGTACCATGGTTTAAAAAACAAGATTAAAAATGTTTTATTGTATTAAAGTGCAGTTTTCAGGTTTTAAACTGAAGGTTACTTTCTATCTTAAGAACTTAAAAGCTATCCTTCAGTTTCTTATCTGTTAAACTAAACTCATGAGACAGATGGTTATCTGAAAGTGTTTTCAATATCTGTACATCACCTTTAAGGATGAAGAAAGCTGTAGTACCAATACAAACTGTGTCAGAGTCTGGTACGTTACTCACATATGAAATAGCTTTTAAATTTTCATGGAAGTATTGTAAATAGCATTATGCCACTACTTCAGTTTTCCTTCTGAAAAGGAAGAGTACTGCACTTTTTTCTTTTCAAAAGATTTGAATTTGTGAATTTAAATTCAGACCCCAATTTCCTGCAAATGATGCCTGCAAATAGCAGCTTACAAAAACACAGAAACTGACATGTACTTATAAGGGCTTCTGTAGGTGCTCAGTTAGCAAATTCATTTTCCAACAGCATGGTGTTACTTTGTTGTCTTACTTTTCTGAGTAAACCTGTTTTTCAAAATTCCTAACATTCAAAATTATACAGGAAACCGTAAATTATTGTATTTGTACACATATTTGAAGGATAACTTTATGTTGTTTTCTTAGAATGTGACTAAATTATCTGTGAAGGATAGACTGGGTTTTGTGTCAAAGCCAGTTACTCCAGCAACTGAAAAGGTAAGAGAATATCTTGTATTGCCTTCCTCTCGCATTCAATTCCAAAAGAATTATTTCTATAATGAAACCCTTTATGTTTATATACAGTTTATTTCAGAAGTGTGAATAAAGTCATTTGTTAAAGGTTAGTTTTGTGGAATATAATACACGGAATCTCAGATTAACTGAGGGTAAGTAAACATATTAGGACAGAACTGTATTTTTTTTGTTTTGATATGGTAGATCCATTTTTTCAGTCACAAAAATAACGAGAAATGCTTCAGGATCCTGAGTTATTTTTTGAAATGCATTTCTGCATTTGTCTAACAAGTAGATGTTGGTTTTTTTTTTTTTGTTTTTTTTTTTTTTTAATGCAAAACATAAGCATAAAACCACCAAACAATTACTTTTGGACTTTTGTGTTCCCTAAAAGCTGATTCTGTAAACATTTACTGTCTTACTTGATCTTACCATTTGCAGTACTTGTAAAAATTAATCAGTGCAGAAAGGACAAAGAGAGGTAAGATGTGAGAGGTGCATCTGAACAGTAGTTATGAGTTATATTTTGCCCACTGGTAGCAATTTTCAGAACAGTTATTAATGTTGCTGGAGTTTGCTACTGTTGTAGTAAAGTTAATAATGCTGGTTTCCAGACCTATTTAACACCTTAGGGCATGGACTTCCCCATTATTGATAATGTTCATTTGAGACAGCATTGGGAGGCAGCAAGTTTTACCCAGTAATTAGATTCCTGTGCCTAGTTACGTCTTTTTTCTATTCTGAATTGGCTTGACTTACAATGAGTGAAGCATCCACTGCATTTTTTTCCTTTTTCAGTTTATCTGTTAATGCTGATAGTAAACTTAACTACAAAAATACAGTGCTGTGTTATGCACACAAATGTAACAGCAGTTAATGTTTAGTTTTAAATACCGATGTCATTTCAATTTGTGTCAAGCCAAGCTAAGCATTCCACCTAAACATACTGATCTTTGCTTCTTGGCTGTATTCTGTTGATTCTTGTTGACCTAAATTCATCATGAAGAACAACATTTTATGCAGATAATATGTACCTACTTTAGAAATTGGAAGTTTGTTTCAGTTTGAATGGGAGTACCTTTTCTCCTCTTCTTGTAAGAGTTATCCTGAAACACCTTTCTACAAAGAGTAAATTCATCCTACAAAAGGTTTTTCCACTGTATCTTACAGTCCAGACTATCTTGGGTTAGCTGCTGAGCTGTTCTGTGAATTGACTGTGAAGCAACAGATTCCTTTGCATTTTCAGTGGAGTTCTGGAACTTTTTTGACTTTGTTTTACTTACTACTTCTCTTTTGCAAGAGAATGCCTTGCTTAGGTTACCCTAACAGTGCTCTGTGACCATTAGAAATTGACAGCTGTCAAAAACGTAGGTACGTCCTAGATGATTTTTCTGCTTCTGGCTGAATGCGGGAAATTACAAGAACTTCACAGTAAGAAAGGAGGTATCTTTGCCTTTCAAGGAGGGAAGGGAAGGAGGGAGGTGTGATGAAACAGCCATTGTGAGACCTTTTCAAATCTGAACAGGGATTTGCAATTCGAGATTCACAGTGAGATTCACAGTGAAGATTCACAGTGTTCTCCCTCTTCAGTAACATTAGAAGATGTAGGATGTTAACATGTTGCTTCTTGCTCTTCTTTGTTAGTTAATGCAGGTACATCTGCTATAGCATCTCTTCTTATTTTTGGAGATGACTAAGTGAGGTTCATTCTGCCATGAAGAGAGTTCAGGGCAAAAGGAATGTGTCCCTGTTTTTATTTGCTACTTGGTCTGCTCTTTTTAATATGACCTGTATTAAAGCTACTTTGTAAGAGGAACAACATGTTTGGGATGTGCATATGTTGACATGCTTTAATTAGTTTTGAAACAATTTCATCTCTCTTTTGATTGCCTGCTTAGATTGTTTTATATTAGCTTTTAAAATATATAAAACATGCTTTGATTTATTTTTTTTTTTCCTTCTTTTTTCTGTCTATACTACCAACTCTACAAGATTCTTATATGTGGGGAAGAAATAGTATCAGTAGCACAATTACAAGAAAATCTTTTATGTGAAGCATCCTTCTTATTCTTCTGATCTCTTGATCTTTTCTGGCTTTCTAATGTTGGCTGTCCTTTTTGTTTCTTCTGTTCTTGGGCATAGTATCTGTTTTATGGACTGCATGGTGACCAGTAGACTCTGCATGCATCTTTTAGTTTTCCACATGTATAAGATATTTTTAATTCCTGAAAATGTTGCAATTTGCTATCAAGGCAGGCAAGATTATGCTGTTACTATCTTCAACTCTTAATCAAGGATTTTTTTTTAATACCAATCAGTGGCCAAAATGTATTTTAGGAAATGTTGCAAGAAACAGAACATTCCAAGTCCTCAGGTACTTTAGAGAAGTAAACAGTAAATGCTAGAGAGGTTGTAAAGCAGGCATCTGTGCTCTCAGTAAGTCATGGAGAAACATTCATATGCAAAATAGGAATAAGTAAGGCCATAGGACTGTCTTCCTTGCTGTACAATGTACAAGACTTCACTGTATGTCTTGCCTCGTATTGATGGTGCAAGTTGTACTTTGCAGAAACTGCCTATGAAAAGAAGCTATTTTATTTGCTTTGGACCTTAGTTTCTGCAATTGTTGAATTTTGCCAAGAAAATTCATGCAGCTATATAAAATTGTTTTTTGAACTTAAAAATAATAAAAGAAAAAAAAAATCACTTATTCTTGAGCAAGTCTTTATCTCCTACTTCTTTAATTAAGCTCAAGTACATACAATTTTATATATTTTTTAACTTTGAAGTAAATAAGAAATTGGAAAGAATTTATAAACTGATATTCAGAATTTTTATATATTTGATGTTATGCTGCCTCTTCAAAAGTTGTTTAATTTCAGCAACTCCAAATAAAATTATTTCACCAAATTTTTGTATTCCATACCATCAAAACAGACAAAAGAAAATACACGTAGATATTTCTATACAGTCATTTATTTTTAAAAAATTGAAATTCACTGGCAAAAAAAAAATAAAATGATTTCCTTCTGTAGGTTTTATCCACTTCTACTGGCTTGACAAAAACTGTGTACAACCCTGCTGCTTTGAAGGCAGCACAGAAATCTTTGCCTGTTGTTTCCACTTCCGTGCTAGACTCTAATGAAGCACAGAAGAAAAAACAGGTAAATTAAATATACTTCTTTATAAAATGGACCTAGATTGGGAACTTGTGACCACTAGAGATAGTCCACTATATATATTCATCTTGAGCATAGGTAATATTAGTTGCAAGATTAAGTTTACTGTAATGGTTTCTTTCCAGAGGTCAAGAAAATTCATTATTGTTTTATTACTTTTTGAGCGCATGTTCAGGCAGTACGAGCAGATTTAAAACTCTGTAATAGTTTAGAATGTGGAACTCTTTTTCCCAGAAACACAGTCTCCATGTTGAGGCATGAACTGTCTATTGTGAATGAGAAGGCAGTATAGCATAGTTATAGTATAGTCAGTGTTCTCTCTTAAGCCTTTCTGGAACTGAACTTTATTTTTGTTAAACAGGCCATTTGTTCTTGTTACATTTCGTACTTTTAGTGATCACAGTTGTGTATTCACCTGAAATCTGAGAACGATGCGACTTTGCATTTTATTGTCCAAATTATAGTTCTCCTGCATCTGTTTTTAATTATGCATGATACTGAAGAGAAAGTGCAAGAAAAATGCCTTAAATTTGGTCTTAAGTGAATCACTCTAATTGTAGTTTAGCTAGCTTTGGATGCTCAGAGCCAGTAAAGCTCCTATTCTGGCTTTGTTCTTACACTTCATTAAAACAAGACACAGGACAGTATTTATCTGGCTGGATTTAAATTGCATACTAAGAATTAAATATGAAGTTATATTCAAATATAAGCCTAATGTCATAATTTGAAATAGCGGTTTGTTGCTGCATGTCAGTTGTGACATTGGTCCAGACTTCAGAGATGAATTCTGATTTGGGGATTTCATTTTGTACTTGTCCCCCCAAAACATGTTTTTCAGAATCACAGCCTTTAGCTTTCAATATAAGAAACTGACTGCTTGCAAAATGGCAAAAAAAAAAAAAAAAAAAAAACAACCCAAAAACAAACAAAGACACAAGAAAACCACTTGGAATGAAATTATTGATTTAACACCTGTAGTCTATTGTGTTTTTTTTGTTGTTGTTGTTGTTGTTTCTGAGAGAAAACATTGAAGACATGCCAAATTATTGCTTCTCTTTGTGCTGTTCCCTGTCTTCAGAAATTTTCATTATAATGAAACATGTCGAAAAACATGATTTTGTGGGACTCACTCCCTTCTTTCTTTGTCTCCCTAGTTTTTCTGAACATTTGTCCCCTTGTCTTATCTTCCCTTTCCTTGCAGAAAAATGATTGCACACTATATTGCAAAACTAACATTTCACGCAGCAGAATTTGTTAGTATTTGAGAATACACATACAGACCTTGTTAGTGTTTCTTTTTTGTGGCTGTTGTGCACTTACACTTTGTATATGGTAATCCACTTAAAATTTGATAGTAGATTGGTGATCTAGAAGTGCAAATTCATCTTCTGCCACTGCTTTTATCTCATTTAATATGCTGGTATCAAAGCTCTTTATAGACTCCTGCTATTATCCTTGTACCTAAGATTTTACATTCTATATCTGAAAGCAAGAAGCAGTTGCTTTCTCTCGAGAAGCATTAGTTAAGACCTGAACACAGCAGCTGTGGCAGTCCCCTACTTTTCCTTCTGAGTGCAGTGCATCACAAATTAATCAGGTTCAATTTGTTTTGATTTGCTCATCACATCACCACAATTCTGTTTTTAGCAAATGCAATATAGATTTTTTTTTCTGAGGGTAATCAGTTTGTTTATTTTTTTTGTCTGGAACTGTACTGTAGAGGTTGATTTATTGGCTAGATTCACAATTTCTTTCAAGATACCATCCTTACAAGTTTGAACTCTTGCATGTTGTAAATCTTGTGGTAGTATATTATTTTACTTTTCAAGTTACATTGTATACAGCTTTGCTAATGAAGATCATTAGGTTCTTCACTTTTTTTGGTGACACTTTGTTTTCCAAGATCCAGCTTTAAATATTGCCTTTAGGGTTGAGTTTGTTACTGTTTTTTCTTGTTATTGTAAGTTACTACTTTACAGTTGTGACATACAGTATATTATTCTTCTGAAATTGTTTTGCAAAATCCAGAAACTTTCGGTATTTTTTTTAAATGTTTTTAGGAAGCACTGCGACTTCAACAAGATGTGAGAAAAAAGAAGCAAGAAATCTTAGAGAAGCACATTGAAACACAAAAGGTAAAGTGTTAGCATTAGTGAAGGTCAGCAGTTGAGTTGTAAAATTTATCCTCGTGAAAATAATTCAGAGTAAGCCACAAAACTGACAGATACATAGGTGGCTCCGAAAGGAATGCCTTCTATTTATTTCCTTGGAAACTACAGCAGATACAAAGAGCACAGTGACAAAATTTGATAGAACAGATTCTCAGCTACAAAACACTACTTCTCAACACAAAACAACTGCTTCTCACCTCTGTTAGCTATGCATTCTTGCTAGCTGTGAACTGCCTGTGTGCTGTGCTCATAAAAATCTGTACCGGTGGAGGTGACCCACTGTTTCAGAGCTGCTATGACTGCGTATTGCTGAAATGCACCCACTGCTTCACTGCACTCACCTCTGCTGTTTGGTCTCTGTAAACGTTCAGCAGGCGTCAGTGAGTGTCAGTGGGTGCCATTTTTTTCTGCATGTAAGAATTCAGTTACACACCTTTGCTGCATCTGCACTCCTGTATCAGGCGCCATTTTGTCAGGCTGCCCCTCTGCTGCCCTTTGTCGCACAGCAACAACATGTGATGGAATACTGGTGGGAAGGTTCAGCCTCTACTGCTGTACCTTCAACATTGCTTCTGATGTCATAAGTCAACGTAATAAAATAGGAGGCGTTATTTTTGGAGTAAAATAAGCATGTTTTCAACTGAAATGACATAGTCGCATTAAATTTGGAGTTTTAATCTGTCTTGTCATACTATTTCATTTAAATTCCAAGCATCTACAATTAGATGCAGGTTTTAGTTGAAATTGTCTGGTTTGGGTGCAAAATGTGAACTTCTTTGTGAGAAGTGAGAGAGAAAGCTATACTTAGTAAGTGCAGAAGTTGATATAGAATAGTGTACGTGACTGCACACAAGCTTGGGAGGGGGAAAAAGCAAAAATATCGTTATAATTTCAGTATCTTGAGCAAATCAAATGGAAACCTCAGATGTTCATTAGAAAATCCATTTATCAAAGATTAAATATCTGAATATAAAATGTTAAAAGTCTTCTTTACTGAGTTTTGCAGATCATAGCATGGCTAGCAGGTTGAGGGACGATATCTTCCCCCTCTGCTCTGGGCTGGTGGGGGCACATGTGGAACACTGTGTCCAGTTCTGAGCCTCTCTGTTCAAAAAGGTAGGGATCATCTAGAAAGAGATCAGTGGAGGTCCGCAAATAGAAATAAGGGCCTGGAGATCTGCTGTATTAGGAGAGCCATAGACATCTAGGTCTGTTCAGCCTGGAGAAGACTGAGAGGGGGTCTTATCAATGTTAAGTATCTAAAGTGTGGGCTTTAAGTGGTTGTGGCCAGGCTCTTTTCAGTGGTCTCTGGTGATAGGACAAGGGGCAACAGGCAAAAACTGAAACATGAGAAGTTCTGTGCAAACATACAAAAGAACTTAGTTGCTATGAGGTTGACAGAGCACTGGAACATGTTGCCTGCTATCTTCTCTGCAGATACTCAAGACCTGTCTCAATGATTTTCTGTTCAACCAGCTATAGGGAACCTGCTTTTAATAGGGGGGGGTGGACTCGATCTCCAGAAGTCCCTTCCAACCTCTCTGATGCTATGATAGCAGAAGAAATACAGTACTCTGTTTTTCCATTAGTTGTAGTAGTTACTTGAAAACAGATATGTGATGGAAATTGCAATGTTGTTTTCTTTGTTTAAATTGGACAGATGCTGATTTCAAAGCTTGAGAAAAATAAAGCCATGAAGTCAGAAGACAAAGCAGAAATCATGAAAACACTGGAGATTCTAACTAACAGCATTACCAAGTTAAAAGATGAATTAAAAGGTGTATCATCAGGAGGAGGGACTCCTCTAAAAAGCATGAAAACTAAGACTCAGGTACTCATATTTTGATCAGCTTTCTAATAAGATGAATTTACTTGCTTAAGTCACTTTAATGAAAATATGCAGCTATATCAGAAGTGCTTAGAAATATGGTGTTTTAATCTTGAAGTCTTCTGTGAAGAGAGATCGGTTTTGCCCTCTGTTTGAAAGAACATAGTTCATTTAAAAACTTAGCTATTGTCTAAAAGTTTGAGGCAGTGATACACAGATACAGTGTTATTTTGAAGATAGCAGAACAGAAGTTTGTCTTTTGCCTTATTCAGTCTTTTGTGTATAATCTGTTGCTTTTGTAATACACAACTGCTGTTGTACTGGTTGTTAACAGAAATAATGAAGAGTGTTTCTAGCGCTAAATGGTGATCGTTATGCAACACAGATATCCACTAGTCACATGTAATACCTAAACTAGAAGCTAGTTCATTATTAAACTGGTGTATGTGTTTGTTTTCTTGTTCTTTTTGTGTAATTGAAATCAAAACAATTGAATTTTTCAGAAATAAGATTATACAATTGATTTTCCTTTGATTTGGGTATCGGTATTTGAGTTGGGTCTGTGAGAGGAGTTTCTCTTACCTGCTGTACTTTCTGCTCATGTAACCAGTTCCTTGATTCTGCTTTAAAGTGCAATTTTGTTAGCTTTGAAAAATTAAATTGTAAATATGTCAAAAGGTTTGGGCCTGGTTTGGCCTGGTTCTGTGACTAAATGGAGTGAAGGGTCCCATGGACCCATGGCTCAGGAGGGGGGAAATGGGGACAGTGAGCTAAGAGAGAAAACTAATTACCAAATATGATAATAGAATGCTAGATAACACAGTATAATACAGTATGATTAGTAATGAAGCTAATCAAATAAAGGAGTGAGTGTCCAAGACCAAAGGTCTTATTCTTGTGCTGAAGGTGAGATGGCTAGAGAACATACACCATACAGACGAGCAGAGAAAGAAAGGACAGTCTAGTGAGTCCCGAGCAGTTTCATCTTTCCCTCTAAACAGAAAAGGAGCAGTGTAGTCTTCTGGGATTAGTCGTTTTTCTCTTTAGAGAAGGGTACCTAGAAACTATACACAGTCCATACAACTGGAGCGTTAACTCTTAAACTCCAGTGCTCTACATGATGTTATGATGTGGAATACCGATAACAAAAATCATGAAACCATGATGAGCGTGTCTGCACCGACTGAACCAATTTGAGACTGAAAGTGACATTTTCAGGAGCAAATACTTCTATAAAAAGCATACAATTGAATTTTTCAAAGCTAACAAAATGATGAAGCACGTGATAATAAAAGGCCAGATTTTTCTATATTGTATTTTCCAGTAGAACAGAAAAGCACTTAAACTTTCCTTGCAGCTTTCATTCGGTTCTTAAATTTTCAGAATGCTTAATCATCTCTTGTAAAGTTTGGAATTCTATTTTAAAAAGCTAGTGCAACATTAAAACCCAGATTTAGTTTAAATGGTTTATAAGTTTTCAGTTTGAAATAGAAGAATTGGTGTTTCATTTTACATAAAAATAGAGGTATTAGAAGTAGTTGCAATATAAATTACAGTGATGTGCAGATGTGGAAGAAAAAAGTACTGAAAGAAATACTGGAATGACCTGTACATACTCACTTCACTGTAGCTTCTTACCTCATTAGTCAGTCAGCAAAAAGTTGAAGCAACAAATTTTTATCCTGAAAATGGGCCATACACTCTGATTTCTTGAAGTTGATTTTCTCTTAGAATAATTACAGCTTTAGTGGAGTAACTTTTAGAGCGGGAACAAGAGGTAATAACTCCAAGCTTTGAAGTCTGCTATAATAAGATTAAATTCATGTTCTTTGAAGGTGACAGATTTTTCTGACGTTTGAGAGTGAATTGGCACTGTCCAGTGAGAGAATGTTTCTTAGAGATCTTAGATAAGTTAATTTCCAGTAGAATGAATTTGAACTACAAAAGTTCTAGGAATTGGCAATATTTTCAGATCTGCTTTTGATTCTCTGTCACCAGTCTCCTTCTTGTTCTTAGCATACTTGTAAATGAGCTCCAAGAGTATTTGCTCCATTACCCTCTCAGGGATTGTGACGAGGCTGACCGTCATGTACTTCCCCAGATCTTCTTTGCCCTTCTTGAAGGTCAGAGTGACATTTGGTTATTCTCAGTTCTGAGGAATATTCCCAAATGTCATGACCTTTCAAAGATAATTGAGATTGGCCTTGCAGAGACATCAGAAAGCTCCCTCAGTACTTACGGTTGCATCCAGTCAGTTCCCAGGGACTTGCGTACGTCCAGTTTGCTTAAATGTTACCTAACTTGAATCTCTACTAACAAAGGTAAGTCTTCCTTGCTCCAGACTTTTTTACCTCTCTTAGGACCTGGGATTGCTGAAGACAAGCTTTGCCAGTAGAGGCTGAGGAGAAAAAGGCATTGGCTCTTTCCAATTCCTTTTTTGCTAGGTCACTTTCCCCATTGACCAGCAGGCCTGTATTTTTCATGACAGTCTTCATTTTGCTCCTGATACACCTACATAAATTTTTCTTGTTCCTTACCACCTCACCATATTATTCCACTTCAGGAGGGCTTTGGCTTTCCAAATTAGGTACCTACATGCTCAGGCAGGCAGTCTGTATTGTTTCTGCGTGGTCTGAGCCTGCTTTCACCTCTCCTGCACTTTTAGATTTGAATTTTGTTAGGAGCTCTTTATTCATTCATGCAGGCCTCCGATTATTTCCCGCATGTTTTGCTACGTGGGGGACACAGACTTTAAACTCATGAAATTGAGAATAACTCATCATCTCCCTTAGGCATAGCTACGTGCTTTCACACAGCTCTCTCACACAAAGGACAACTTCTTCTCATCATCCTTATTTGGCTTTCCTAAAGAGACTGCATCTGTCTACTGCAGCACTCCAGTTATGTGAGTCACTGTACAGTGGGGAGTTGTAACAGGATGATCTTTAAGATCCCCTCCCACCAAAGCCATTCTGTGTAATCTCTGTGAGATTGTAGTCCTGAAACTGCACAGACATCTAGTCCCTCCGCTATACTTTCTATAATGTTTTATTATCAGTGCCTTTGAGAAAGGCACTGATTTGCCAGAAAAGAGATTAGATTTTCCCCTTTGTTACTGTTCCATAGGTACTCCCTTGTTTATATTGGTATGTGCATGCTTGAGGTTGTCCATCTTCAACTCTTTATGTTGATTTTGAGATCTCTGCAGTCCACATTACTAATTTTTTTGTCAATCTGGTCCTCATGTGATTGTAGTTTTCACTTATTTTTGTCTTGTTCCAGATAATGGAGATTGTAAAACACCCTTCCCCATGAGTATAGAAACCTTTGCTGCCTCCTGGTATGTCTTGAAGGAGGCATTTTCTTATTGAGGTGAAGCACAGCTCTGTAAAAAGGGAAATCTTCATTAAGAGCACTAGAAATAAACTTCAAAAATCTAGAAACTTTCTGACACCAGAGTCACTGCTTTGTGAGTTCTAACTTCTGGTCATTTTTAAATTTCAGAAGTGGTTATTTTGACACATCTTTGGTGCATTACAATGCCATTACAACACTGGGATTTGAGAAACAGTTTGCAATTCTGAAAACTGAAAATCATAATACAGGAGATTAATTTTTATGGTTGCTGTAGATAATCAGAAAATGGGGCTGAAAGGAGTTCAGATTGAAGTTACCAGTTGAATAATCCAGCTTTTTTTCTTTTAAAGCTTCCAGGAAAAAAAAAAAAACAAAAAAACAAAAAAAACCAAAGAAACACACAAAAAAATCCCTTCTTTATCATTCAGTGGTGCTACTTGGTTTCCAACAGTCACAACTGCGAAGCCTTCGTCTCTTTGACAACGAGCCTTTTAATACATTACATGCTGTTTGAAGCAATGAGTGTATGTGTAAAACTATTTCATAGTCATAATTTTCTTCTTCATTTGCAATGTCATTAGAACATTGGATTGCTGCTTTTTCCATTAAAAACAAAATAAGTATCCAATTTGGAACAAAACTTCAAGTAAGATTTTCATAGTCACATGAAGCTCTTTTCTATATCTGTACCAGCACCTGCACCTCTCTACTTTCAGTGAATGTATCTAAATTTGGATTCAGAGGCACCTTTCAGTTTGATACATATTTTTGAACTTCCTCATCATTTATAAGGTACTGTGTGCTGAAGGGCAACTACAGGCACATCAGAGACCAACCTTTTGTTAGCAGAGATACTGTTACTGTGGTGGTTTTTTTTCGTTTGTTTGTTTTTTCTACTATGGTCTGAACTGAACTACCATTTGTGCTTTTTCATTATGGAATTGTGATAATTTTAAAAGCTTCTTCTCATTACTTAGTGTAGATTGTGTATTCATTCATAACAATGCTTTTTTTTTTTTTCCTGTAGAGTCCCTTTTTATCACTTCATTGCTGTCATATAATTTTGCATTTTTTGTCTTGTGTATCTCTAGTTTAGAACAGATTCTTTTGGTTTGGCTTGATGTACTAAAAGCTTTGGCATCACCAAGCTCAAAAAAACATGCTGCTACACACTGAAGTTTTATCTTGCCTCTTTAAGGCTCCTAAGCTTGCACTTGGTGTATTTTTTTTAAAGTGGAATCGTAGTGTTGTAAGCAGTTTACCTCCAAAATTACAGCTGTGGGTCTAAATCAATAAGCCACAATTTGGCTAAGTTTAGAATTTACGCACTCTAGTTTTAAAATTTACTTTTCCTAGAGTTGCTAGGAATTTGCTGCCACGCTTCTACCTGGAAAACAGACTTTTCGCTTTCCTGGAGGCCAGTCCTGGCCAATCTTTCAGTCACTGCATATTTGTGAAATAGCTTGCCGATTGGAGCATAGCACAGGATTCTTAGGTTTCATCAGAAAATTGTTTCCTCACTGGAAAATGTAAACTGTGCAACTAATAATTTGCTGTGACAATTTCTTAGATGCAGAAAGAGTTACTAGATACTGAACTGGATTTATACAAGAAGATGCAAGCTGGGGAGGAAGTTACTGAATTAAGACGGAAATACACAGAGCTGCAGCTGGAAGTATGTTTTCTCATCTTTTGTTTCTATCTTTCAATGAAATATTTTCCTACATTTTTGCTGGCTTGTGAATTGTATCATTTAGTGCAATGTTTCTTATTATAGATGAAGGCAGTTAGCAGTAATATTAAATAAAAGTTTCTGGGTTCTGCTTCAGTAGAGAAAAAGCATCAACGTTACTTTTTATCACTAATTTATTTAAATTCTGAAACTTTAGATGATATTTTATGATTTTTATGATAGTAATACATCCTTGTGGACATTAGACTATTTTTAAATTGTTGTCTGTGTTGGATTACAAAGGAATAAAAAATACAGCCTCATCTTTTTTTTTTTTTTTGATAATGTCAACATCCTCTCAATGAAGGCCAAAGTGGCATAAAGTAATGTTAGCACAGCATTATTTTTGAGAGAAGGTGGACTCTCTGAAAACAGATACAGTGTGTCCTAAGCATTCAGTGTATAGAAACATATTTTTTTCTTTTTGTTTTACTTGCTTCGTAAAAAAAAAAAATAAAAAAAAAAATAGAGAAGGCTGCTCTAGAATGTTTTTGTCTTGGTATAAGAAATTATGAATAGTATTGGACGGATAATAATTCTGCTGTTTTGCCTGTATGTGTAGTAGCTACTTGGAAGATACTGATGTTTTTTCTACTCTAAAGCAGAGTGGTGTGTTGCTTAAATAAATCCTTCTTAATGAAGCTTGGTTGTATTTTAGGTATGACTGCATGCAGACACAGTGCGTGTACATGCAGCTAGTTTGCATTAAAATCTTACTTCAAGTTGTTGTGTAGCTTTGGTGGTGGCTTTTTGATGGTGAAAATAGGTTTGTTAATAAGCCAAGCCTGTTGAACTGAGATGACTCAAAAACAAACACTTAAAATAATTATTCTGATAGTGAATAATATTTCATAGGTATCCTGAATGATTTTATTAATACAGCAGTCATAAATCGATTTCCTCATGGAAGGAGATCATTGGCATGCAGTCAAGTAGCGTTAGCAGTACTGACATGGTAAACGCGATAGGATACGTTAAAAACATTGTTACTGTGATTTTGTTTAGCATTCTGATTCATAAATAGGGCAATCTCTTTTGTAATGATCTGAGTTTTTTTTTTTAATGTCTGCTATACATGCTCAAATTCAATCCTTGAAATGGGTTGTGGGTGGTTTTTATTTTTTAAGCTTAAATTTTACTTTTTTTTTTTTTTTTAATGTCTGTTGGAGTGCCTTTTGATTTCAAGAAAATGCATGTCTGTTCTGTGCATTGGAAATGCAGGTGTGGGATTGGAAATTGGTGACTGTGTAGACCCAAATTTTCAGAGAACAATTTGTCCTTGGATATGCATAGTAGAACCTCTGTTTCACAACTCACAGTACTGTGGCCAAATGTTACTATGCTTTTTTATTATTTTATATTTTCTTTTGAGACTAAAAATTCTGTCTGTAAATTAGGAGAAAACTGTTAGTCAGTACAATGAGAAAATTTCATTAACAAATTTCAAATGTTATATTCCTGTCTCTCCCGAGGAAAGGAATTGTCCTCACAGTGCTTCTTTGACTTCTGTTGTTCTAACATGTTGTTTTTTCTGTTCCAGTACTATTTTGAATCTGTTAATAATGTACATCATTAATTTTAGCATATTGTAAGATCTTAAAGTTGCTCTAAGTCTTCTTTAGGGATGTGTCTTTTTTTTTTTTTTTTTTTTTTAGGAAATGTCAAAATATATGTTTGTTAATTTTGTCTAAATATTTGGATTATGAATTTTAATAAATCCGTGTGTGTAAATCTTAGGCTGCCAAACGAGGAATTCTTTCTTCAGTTCGTGGTAGAGGGGTCCATGCAAGAGGTCGAGGTGCATCACGTAGCAGAGGTAGAGGAATACGTGGACGGGGTCGAGGCAGAGGAGTTCCTGTACATGCTGTTGTGGATCATCGACCAAGGGCATTAGAAATTTCTGCGTTTACGGAAAGTGATAGAGAAGATCTTCTTCCTCATTTTGCGGTATTTTGTAATTTCTCTTTTTCTGCTCATGGGATGGCATTCTATCCAGTGACTTGTTTATGCTTGATTCAGTTCATCTGGAAATATTATTCAGGAATAACTCTATAACATGATATACCTGTTCATGATATAGAGAAGCAAAAAAAAGTCAGAAAAAGGTGAAACAGAAATTACACTGTTATTTCAACTGCTGTTAACTGAAACATCAGACAGTTTGTCAGAATTGGTGGTATTTTTTAGGGGAGTTTCAAGATGACCTGAAATTTTTCAGTGTTTCTGCCATTCTGATTTGGACAATAAAGATGAGAACTATGTATTTACTGACAAATTTCGATAGGGCATCCAAAGGTTTCTTGTATTAATCTGTCTAAGCTTAGAGGTTTTTTTTGTTATTGTTGATCAACAACAACAATCTACTTGGTCAACCATAAGGCACTGGTCTCAGTGAAGATTTAAAAGAATAAACTTATTTTTAATCCACAGCCTAGTATTACGATTGAGTCTGCCAGAAGACCGTTGTTGCTGTTTTTTCACATGTTCTTTGTACTTCAGCAGTGCACTCCACCTGTACAGATATGTTGGGTATTGGAGCTTACATTCTTAGCAGCATTAAAATACCTTAGAAAGTATTGGAAGAGTTTATTGGGCTAGAAGTTAAGATGCTGAAATCAAGCTAAGATGGAAATTTTGGCTACCTGTCCAGTATCTCATCTTTTTGTAGAAGTGTTTCATAATAAACTATTGGAATAATCTGAAGACCCCCTCTTCTTAATCAAGGAGAAGTATTGAAGCAGAACCACCTCTCTTTTCTGTCATAATTTTACTTCATACTTGTATGTTTACAACTAGGAAATGTAAACTGTAAACTGTGGTACTTTGTGTTTTTAAAAATGCAAAGAAAAATAACACTTTTGTGCAAAGAACTCTAATTTGCATTAAGAGTTTGAAAAGGTACACTGTTCTAACTTGATATGCTTTTTGAGGTGTTTCATGTAGGACATCATTTTTAGAAGGGGAGGGTAGGGGAGGAAGGCTGGTTTACTAAGCTTTTTTTTCTTTCTTTCTTTTTTCATATTAAAAGCAATACGGTGAAATTGAAGATTGCCAGATAGATGACTCTTCGCTCCATGCGGTGATTACCTTTAAAACAAGAGCAGAAGCTGAAGCTGTGAGTAGTTTCATTGAAAATACTTGGCAGCATTCAACTGCAATATATTCTAATATTTGATTAAATTTAATGCAGATAATTACTCAGAAATATTTTAAAGAATTCTCATATAGGAAGTCTAATTGTAGACTGAACAATTCTGTCAAAAGTGACACAGGCAAAGAGACCTTGCCTGTGGTCTGTGGAGGGGATTTTTCAGGCAGTGATGCCAGAGGGACATGACATGGAGCAACTGGAGAGTCATGCCTGTTTCTGGTGGCCATTTCCAGGAATGGGCTATTGAGTCACCATCCCTGGAGGTGTTCAAGAAATGTTTAGATATTGTGCTAAGGGACATGGTTTACTGGGGAAATACTGGTTGTAGGTGGTCTGGGTGATGATCACGGAGGTCTTTGCCAACCTTGGTAATTCTGTGGTTCTGTGATTACTGAATCTCCTATAGTATAAGGATTTATAACAAAGCAGGGTTATACTTTTGTAAGAGGGAAGTCAAGACAGTCATATAGAAATTCACAGGTAGATATCCTTATTTAATTGCCAGTTATTTTCACCTTAAGGATTCAGTCTTGTGTAGTTTAACTGACAGCCTGCAGACTGAGTCTATATATTTGGTTGGTTCATCAGTTGTATTTAGCTTTGCCTGGAAATCAGTGATAATGTGAATGTAATTTTATGCGGTGAGATATTTTCTTTTCCCCCAAAGCATATTTACTTATGAAGTTACAGAAGTATAGAATTACAGAAGTAATTCTTAGAGAGTTCTGAAACACAGCATTGAGGTATGTTGTAATTCATTATCCTTAAATATAGATTATGAGGACTGTATTTCTGGATGAACAGGATTCTTGCCTTACTCAGTTAATAGTGCAAGCAGTATACGAATCTGCACAAAATAATGAACATAGTTGCATTGCAGATTATTTTGTTTTCTTTAAAATCCTTCCATCACTGTTGGGAAGGAGTATCCTGAAAGTAATAGGGTTTCCAGGCAAAAAAAGAGAAGATTAATGTATATGGTATGATTGTTTAGAAAGATTTGATTTCATAGTTACACTTTGAAGATGATATCTTTGCACAAAGTTTATCTTTTGGAGATTATTGAACGGAATTTTCATACTTGACCAGATTCTTTTGTTTCTGTATTCCTTATCTTGAAAAAGATAAATGATCTAATTGACAGAAGTATTTACAATGAAAAAGAAACCGGTAAGAGTAGTTCTGACCACTCACAACATCATAATAGATACTTTGAGAAATAATTTGATTCATAAGCCAGAGGTGTTTTAAAGAAAGAGAAGTGTTGGGTGTGAAACATTCTAATGCAACAGTGTGGAGCTCTGACTGTATGGAGACTAAATTATTCTGTAAAAAAGGAAGTGTAAGTAAGGATACGTGGTACATAATGACTGGTAAGGATAAAGCAGTAGTATTGTGTGTCTGAAAGAACACAAACAGTAAACTTAGAGATCACAAATAAAAGCTGTAATAATTACTATACTCTAGAATGGATTCAGTTATGGTTGGAATTTTTTATTTTGATGCTTTCTAACATTGGATATTTGATTTTGTGCCTTCATATTATTTAATGTTACAGTTGTAGTTTATATAACAAAAAACAATCATCTGTTTTTATGAACTGTCCAGATAACATCTCTACTCCCATATAGAGTATGATTTGCCACAAAAAGGTTAACAGATATGTTACAGATACCTTTTATCAGCAAAATACAGGTTTTACTTTTACAACTTCTTTAGAAAAATTGGCATGCAGAGTCATTTCAGTCATAGCTAACTTTCTGTACCCAAAAGTCAAAGTTCAGTAATACTTCAGAAACAAACTCAGAAGTTGATATATGTGAAATGAAGAAAGAAAACAGTGCAGAGAATGCAGAAAGGTATTGACAAGGGAGAAGGGAGACATGGTTAGTGGATGAGGAGGTGTGATCAATAGAACAATTAAAGTTAACACTCTGTATGCTTGTTTTTCCTCAATACATTTCACTGCTTTAGAAAAATAGTAAGTACTCAAGGTGAAGATGTGCTTGCAGTGAAGTTCGGAAGGTTCTGTGAAAAGTGGAAGGATTTGGATTGAATTATAAGTCATTACCTGTATGTAATATCACAGAATCACAGAATTGTAGGGTTTGGAAAGGACCTCCAGAGATCATAGAGTCCAACCCCCACAGTCCACAGTCCAGTTTGCACTAAAACTTCTTCATTTCCTTGTAACTGTGTCTGATTACATGTTTATTTTTATACTGAAATAATATAAAAAATGTACTAGGTCAAATACAGTAAAGTCTTATTTTTTTTTCTTAAGATATTCTTGTCTAAATATAATTCCACTGGACTTTTTGTGTTTATTAGTAAAGCAGACTCTAAGGCTGGTAATAGAAGAAATTGTAGATAAGAAATGTAATCATTAAAAAACATCTACTGAGGCCAATTTTGGAGTAAATGCTGCTAATATTTTACTTTCTTAAATGAAAAAAGGCTTAAGCTTTATGACTGTGTCTGTCCTAGTCTGAAAGGAAGAGGAGTATTCCCTGTTGTAAAATGTTGAATTTTATGTAGTAGTAACTTCTTCCAAAGATTACAAGTTGTTTCTTGATCTAAAAGTCACGTATAAGTGCTTTTAAAAATTCTTGTTATGTGATATTGTGATGAGACCATGGACAAAAAGCTCCAGAGCTGCATTTTAATAGGCACAGAATCTTTTAAATTTATCATAAATTTATATGTACAGATTTAAAATTTATACCTGGGGACTTCAATATCACACAATTCATGTTCAGATGTCATCGAACATGTAATTGTTTCTACATTTCACATTATGCTGTGCTTTCAGATTGCACTATAAATCTTCTGTGACTATGATGGTTATTTCGGAATGTTGCTAACACTGATTTATGCTAGTTCATGTTACTTTAATTTGAACATACTATTTCCAAAGCAGCCACTTAATGGATCTGGTACTTAGAAAGCCATGAATATCCCATAAGTTAAAAATTTTTATATTTCAATTACAAGGGCTATACAGGAAGTGAAACATTTCCAGTAGATTAAGTTGTAATCACAAAGGTTTATTTTTTTCCTTTAATATTTAATTATTTGTATATGTGGGGATGGCTTGTTTCTTCTAGTAAGTAATGTGTTAATAGGTTTGTGTCAGTCTTCAAAAGGCGAAGTACCCATCAGCGTAGTATTAAAAGCAGAGGCAAGTATTAAGTTCAGTATGTTGAATCAACAAGTGATTAATGATTTTTCAGTGCTTATTTTGTTTGAATATGTTTTGATCATTTTCCTGAAAGGATGTGTGAATTTCGTGTGTAGTTAATAAAGTTTTGTTTTAGACAATGAACAGTAATTCAATATTAACATATTAAAACTTGTTTCCTCAGAAAAAGCAGACCGTTGGTTTGTTTCTGGCATTTAACTATTAGAGAAGTTATTTTTTCTCCTGACAAAGACATTTTTAACTAAGACTAAATTTGTTTTAGGCTGCAATCCATGGGTCTCGGTTTAAAGGACAGGAGTTAAAGTTGGCATGGAACAAGCCTGTTGCTAGTATGTCAGCTGTTGAAACAGAAGAAGCTGAGCCTGATGAAGAAGAAGTAAGTTTGTTTTTTTTGTCTCATGATTATTTCTTAAAATGAAATGGTTTTGTTTTTTAAATGAAAATGATCTATTGATTCATATCACTTAAATCTGACTCACTTTTCAGTATCAGGAAATGGATTTATTTATTTAAGAAAATATTGTTTTCTAGGCTATTGACAGTCTAAGTATTTCACTTTTCATTGCAGGCATGTTTCATTTCTAGTGTGTACATCTAGAAAATAAAATAGGAGGGGTGTGTTTGAACTTACATGAGAAATAATGAGGATTTTGCCTAAACCATGGCTAGGATTTTATTTGAATTATCTTCACCTGAATTAATCCCCTTGACATCACAAAATGTCTTAATATAATCAACAATTCTTGGGAAATTTTGCATTTAAATGTTATTCTTTGTGTGAGGTTTGTAGTGCTTGCAGCATTTGTTTAAGTTGATACTGAAGCATAATGTTAGAATTGCTAGGTCCTGGACAGAGAAGTTTTAAGAACTTCAAATTAATTTGCTGATTTAAAAATACATAAATAAATAAAAATTCTATGTTGTTTCACTGTTTAAAATTCATCTTATGCAGGATGAGATCAGGGTGGTGGTGATACCTGTAGTCACCAGCCTGAATTTTAATCTTAAACGTGTAAAATATCTCAAGTTTCTGTGTGCTTACAGTTGGTCATGCTGTTCATATTACTTTGCTTTATAGCTGATACTATATAAACTTGAAGGTTTCCATCTTTCTTCCATGTGTAAATTCCATCAATTCACCTAAAATGCTAAAGAGACTTGAGACTGAAATGAAATGAAGAATTACCTTGATAGTGTGTTTGTTTTGTTGTTGTTTTTTTGTGTGTTTTTTTTTAATTTTTTTTTAATTTTATTTTTTGTATTTGCTGTTTCAGAGGTGGAGAAGGGATAGTTCTGTAAGGGATGAGAGAAGTAAATTATTCAGCATGCTGACATTCTTAAACAGTACTGAAATAGGGCTTTTAGTCTGTTTATAAAATTGTGAGGCAGGTCTTTTGGACTTGCATGGTACTAAAAATGCCTGGTGCTTAGCCACTTAATTATGAAAACACTTAATTTAATAGATGCCTTACTTTCTGCATCCAGGTGCCTAACAAAAAGCTGGCTATATTGAATCAACAGCCAGTGCCTAGGGAGAGTACTGAGAGTCATAGGTACAGAAGCATTTAATTATCACTGGTTTGCATTTCAGGGACCTGTTGAGTCAGTATGATGTTTTTGTAGTTGATAGCCCATTCTACATGTTTGTTTTCTTAATTTGGTAGGTTTTGTTGGAATGTGAGTGAACTTAGCACCTATAGTGTCCTATGATGGGGAATACTATTGTTTAAATATGAGTACCAAGAATAACTGTACTGGATATATTCTGCATCTGCAAATTTAATTTTGATGTTCTGAATCAACCGTTTAAAAAAAATTTTTTTTTTCTGCACTTTCTCTAAGATACTTCCTGTGATACTTCCCCTTAGTGACATTTTCTCTAGTCCAGAGGTCTGTAGGCTCTATGTGTTCACTGTAAGGAAATTGTTACAGGTTTTATGATAATCTCTGCTTCCACTTAGCCTTGTGCACATGGTATTTTTGCATTTGCACTGTACAGAATGCCTCCTTTGTAGCTGTCCTATCATATTTTAGTCTGCTTAGCATCTAGACACCAGGGGAAAAGACTGAGTCGTCAGAAGGCTGCAGTATCTTAGTCTAGTTCATAATACTCTACGTGTATTGATAGTCAAGATGTTAACAGAGCTGCTTTCTGTAGGCAAAAGTAATGAATGAAGATAGTAGTTCTTCTCTCTTGTAAAAGAGCTTACTGAAGAAAGCGAATATATCATAGAATCATAGAATCACCAAGGTTGGAAAAGACCTGAAAGGTCATCCAGTCCAACCGCTCACTTATTCCCAATAGCTCCCAGTAAACCATGTCCCTCAACACAACATCCAGCCTTTCCTTGAACACCCCCAGGGTCGGTGACTCCACCACCTCCCTGGGCAGTCCATTCCAGTGCCTGACCACCCTTTCTCAAAAGCAATATTTCCTGATGTCCCGCCTGAATCTCCCCTGCCGTAGCTTGAAACCATTCCCTCTGGTCCTATCACTAATGACACGAGAGAAGAGGCCAACCCCCAGCTCACTACAAACTCCCTTCAGGAAGTTATAGAGAGCAATGAGGTCTCCCCTGATCCTCCTATTCTCCAGGCTGAACAATCCCAGCTCCTTCAGCCTCTCCTCATATGGCCTGTGCTCCAGACCCCTCACCAACTTTGTTGCCCTCCTTTGAACACGTTCCAGGGCCTCAATATCTTTCTTGCAGTGAGGTGCCCAAAACTGGACGCAGTACTCGAGGTACGGCCTCACCAGAGCTGAGTACAGGGGGACAATCACCTCTCTGCTCCTGCTGGCAACACCGTTTCTGATGCAAGCCAGGATGCCATTGGCCTTCTTGGCCACCTGGGCACACTGTCGGCTCATGTTCAGCCGAGCATCAGTCAATACCCCCAGGTCCATTTCCTCTACGCCATCCTCCAGCCACACTGCCCCAAGCCTGCAGCATCACCTGGGGTTGTTGTAGCCGAAGTGCAGGACCTGGCATTTGGCCTTGTTGAAACTCATCCCATTGGCTTCAGCCCAGCTCTCCAGCCTGTCCAGATTCCTCTGTAGGGCCTCGACTACCCCCAGGCAGATCCACACTTCCAGCCAATTTGGAAATTGCATCTGCGAATTTACTGAGGGTGCGCTCAGTGCCCTCATCCAGGTCATCAATAAAGATCTTGAAGAGGACAGGCCTCAGCACCGACCCCTGGGGAACACCACTCGTGACCGGTCGCCAGCTGGATTTGACTCCATTCACCACCACTCTCATGAGCCCAGCCCTCCAGCCAGCTCCTTACCCAGCCAAGAGTGTATCCATCCAAGCCTCTGGCTGCCAGCTTCTGCAGGAGAATGCTGTGGGAGACAGTGTCAAAGGCTTTGCTGAAGTCTAGGTAGACCACATCAACAGCCTTTCCCTCATCCACCAGATGGGTCACTAGATCATAGAAGGAGATCAGGTTGGTCAAACAGGACCTGCCCTTCATGAACCCATGCTGGCTAGGCCTGATCCCCCGCTCATCCCGCACATGCCGCATGATCTCCCTCAAGACAATCTGCTCCATAACCTTCCCTGGCACCGAGGTCAGGCTAACAGGCCTGTAGTTCCCCGGATCCTCCTTATGACCTTTCCTGTAAATGGGAGTCACATTGGCAAGCCTCCAGTCTTCTGGGACCTCATCAGTCAACAAGGAGCGCTGACAGATGATGGAAAGCGGCTCGGCTGTCACCTCTGCCAGTTCCCTCAGCACTCTTGGGTGGATCTCATCTGGCCCCATAGACTTGTGGCAGTCCAGTTGGAGCAATAGATCTCTGACTGTTTCTTCCAGAATCACAGGGGGGTTAGTGTGCTCCCCAGCCGAGATTACCAGGTCAGAGAGAGGAGAGTCCTGAGGATAACTGGTCTGACTTTTAAAGACAGACGCAAAGAAGGCATTCAGAACCTCTGCCTTTTCCTTATCCTCAGAGGTCACATTCTCAGCCTCATCCAGCAAAGAGTGGATATTCTCCTTGGTCCTCCTCTTACGGTTAATATATTTAAAAAAGAGTTTCTTAGTCCTTTTCATCCCAGTGGCCAGGTTAATATAAATACTTCTTGGCATTTCTCAGCCTACAGCCTTGTATTTTTCTAGAGTTTCACTAACCTCACAAATTAACTTCTCTTGCTGAATTTGGAAATTCTGTAGCAAAAACTAGAATTGCTGGGATGAGAAAAACAAGCAAGAAAGAACAGACATAATTAAACATCTGGGAGACTTCATTAGAGAAAGAGATCTTGTGTTTGTCCTTTCTTTAGTTAGCGCAGAAATTGCAGTGGGAAGTGTAATCATCAAAAAAAGTTCTGAGATAAGGAAAAGTTTATATATACACCTCTGTGTATGTAGGCAAAAATAAAACATAACTCACTGTCTATCTTCTTTATTTCTTTGTTTTAACTTCTCACTGAAGCCCCTAACTTGAAGAGTGTTTTGTGTAGTATGTCGAGATACCGTGTTGTCATTTGAATGTATTTGAAAACGTTTTTTTAAATTAATCTAAATGCACTTTAAAATCTTCATTATATTGAGCATGCTGGATTTAAGCTTAATTAAAGTATCTCATTTAAAGTTTTTGATAGGTAGTTTAAGCTCTTAGACTAAAAGAGACATAGTTAATATAAACTTGGAAAAGCTAGCTTTAGTTTTCAGTGTAGTATATTAAATTTCATCAAAATGTTAAAGATTGGGCATGAGAACATGTTCAACAGATCTTCTGATTCTTCAAACTACAAGATCATTTTAAAGCTCAGTAAAAGAAAAAAAAAAAGCAGCTGCATTTACCATTTACTAATTATATGTATATTTTATACATATACTTTATACACATATACTTTTTGAAAGCATTACTTTTTACCTATGAAAAATGAAATTGTATGTTCCTTCTTAGTTTTCATGGATCTGGATTGTATTTTGTCTTTCAGTCTCTTACATTTTGTGACATAACACAGACTATCACATTTATCTCTTGAAGTTTCAGGAAGAATCTTTGGTGGATGACTCACTTCTTCAAGATGATGACGAAGAGGAGGAGGATAATGAATCTCGTTCATGGAGAAGATGATTCAACTGACCGATGACAGTGCTAGAACTGCACCTGTGTTGCATTAGTATTACCTAATGTACTTCTGCATCTTTGTATTAAAAGGGGTTTTGTGATGAAGTTGAATTCGGATATAGACTAAAAAGAAGCTGATCAGTTACACGTTTTGAGAGATTGATGTTTGAGTTACATTTCAGTAAATGGTTGCTAAAGACATCATACTAGGAACATATGCAATGTTTTTATTACATAGTTCTACAGAAAGTTACAGAATTCTTTGGGTTCTTTGTAATTTACTGAATTGGTCAAGCACAAATGACCAGAAGTTGTTATAACATAGATAATTTTTGTTCTATTCCAGATACGGAATGAAAATTTGCATTTAAAATCTTTGTGAATGTTTTCAGAAATGAATAGATAACAGTACTAAACTGAAGTCTCTAAAGTTATGTATTCATAATATTGCATAGTAGTATGCTTAGGCTTTACTATGTACTAGCCTTTTGTTGGATTTGTGTACGTATTTTACCTATGGGTTTTAATGATAAAGTGTATGACTGCTTTGCATATAAGTCCTTATGACTTTAAGATGTTAAAAAATAAATAAATGGAATGGTCTTCAAAAAAAAAAAAAAGAAAAAGAAAAAAAAAGCAATAACCAAAAAAGATAAGGCAATGGTCCTTCATAACGGAAAAAAAAAAAAAAAAGAAAAGAAAAGAAAAAAAAAAAAGAAAAGAAAAAAGACCATTTCAAATGGCAACCCCACCCCCATACTCACAAAAAGAGCTCTAATCACTTTCATATTAAAATAGTATTGAATATAAAAGAAAAATCTCAAAATAATGAAGTTTCATTTAATTTAACTCACATATGTACTCTGTCACATACAAAGTTTTGAACATCTTCTGAATTTTAAAGCTGTTTTAAGTCAAACTTTAAGTAGAATAACAATTTGATAGTAAGGAATTTATTCTTTATCCTGCACTGTAGAACTGCAGAAGAAAATTTAGTCCCACAAAAACGTGTACAGCTTGTTATGTAGTTTAGGATGATAAGAGTGTGAGAAGTGGGATATTTGGCAAGAACGATTCTAAAAATTATGATCACACATTAATACATATGTTTTTTTTTAAATCTCTCTGTAGTTCTATCATGATGTTTTTTTAAGTAGTATTTGCAGATAGCAAGTTCATACTGTATTGTATTTTGGTCATGTGAAAATGTACATACATGAAATGTACACTATAGAAATACTTAATTGGCTGCAGGAGGGCATTGTGTTGTGCGGGATCTGAAGCTTCTCCTTCCTTTAGGAAGGGGAACTTACTAGATTTTTGCACTAGTAGACTTTCCTTTTGGTGCCATTCTGCTGCTTGCAAAAGGAAAAGCATTTGTTAAACACTAGTTCTTGTTTATTTCCATTGACTCGTTCATGAATACAATGTAAAATCTTATCTGACAAAGAAATGCAGGAAATAGTATTGCAGTCTATTTTCTTCAGTCTTTGTGTTTCTGTGTTTTGGAGGGGAGGTGAGGGAGAGCTGCACCTCTTCCCCTCCCCTTTTTTAAAAATTCCATAATAGGAGCAGAGGTAATTAGAAATAGTATCCCAGAGAGAAGAGGTCTCACTGTAGAGGTTTTATTCCACAGTTTTTAGATGTTGGAGGCTTTTCTGAGGCCTTAATCCTATTTCTTTTTATATTCCTATGTGTATGCAGATCTTCCTGCAAACATAGGCACTAAATTTTTTTGTACAGACCTAGTTTCACATTGAAATACCACACTTGACTGCCATGCTTGTTACAGTAAATTCAAAATCTTGCCTTAGCAAACTGCATTTGAAAAATTAGTTTCTTTTTACACTGAATTTAAGGCAAAATAAAATATTTTAAGAACTTTTTTATACAATGAGCACTTCCAGTTCACTGAGTTAAATACAAGCGTTTCTACTTTTCTTTGTTAATAATTTAGTGCATTTGAAGACTGCCAGATTGTCAGTCCAGAAGGTGGAATTTTTTAGTATGTTCTCATGCAGAACAGGTACAGCATGGGAAACAACTGTGCATGCTACCTTAAAGTTGTTGTGTTGTGTGCTTTGTCTACTGCTCAACCATGGCTTTTCAGTGGCAGTAAATCTTAGCAAAAGGTAATGATAAGCACTTGTGTATACTTAACATGGATGCTTACTTTGAAGCATCTCAAAATTCTTTATCATCTAATTTAAAAATTATTATATATTTGCTTGCTTGTTTTGAATTCAGCATGCTAACAGATCCATGCTAGATTCATTTCTTAATAATTGCCTGCAATCTGGTCTACCTGTATGGGGAATATGTTTTCAACACCTAACTTACCCATTTCATCAGAGAAAGTGACGGGAAAATACTTGCTATCATTTCTTTTACCTCCTGCCTTCTTTTACCTTATTTTATGTCGTTTTGAATGATTGAAAACCACCTGGATTAGAATAGTTTGTTTTGCTGTCAGTTTAAAAAACAAATCCACATGCTTGTTTCGGTTAAAACTATTCTGTAATCAGATGCCATGCAGCATAAGGTAATGGTATTCTGGTTGCAATCAAAATTGACGTCCTGTGTATTTCTCTATCAAATTACTTGATTTTTTTTTCCCTTTTTTTTTTTTTTTGTTTTGTTTTGTTTTGTTTGGAGGGGTTTTGGGGTTTTTTTTGTTTGTTTTTGTTTTTACTTAGTTCTGGTATTCTTTGCCTGGCTTTGCTCTTTCCTTTGCTACTACCGTAAACAACTTTTGTAATTTCAGTTCAGTCCAGTGAGGTCTTTATCTGAATAGCATTCAGTGAGATTTCTTGTCATCTGGAGCTACTTCTTTGCATCTTGACTGAACAAACCAAGCATCCTACTGATTTTCATTTCTTTCTTTTCTTAGTTGATCCTTCTGAGTGCATTCTTAAGTATATCTCCATTATGCTTAGCTTAAATAATTGTTTTTTTTTTTTTTTTTTTAACAGTTCTGCAAGTGGATTTTCCTAGTCTGAAACACCAGGAACACTGGTTTTTCCCAGAACGCTTTTCCAAATTTCTTTGGATAATAAGGTAAACACTTAAGAAAGTATTTTCTGTTCCAGCTAGGTGGTGAAGTACTTGAATAGATTGTGTTCTAATATGTAGTTAAATGGCAATATAGTAGTAAGCCACATTTGGTTAAATTACAGAAAATGTTATGTAGTGGGAGTCAGTAAGTCAGTGTTACTGTCTGTAAAGCAGTAAAACAGCAAGAATGCCTCTTTCAAGCATTACTTATTACCAGTGTTGTAGTTATTTTTCTCTTATGAGTTTTCCAATTTGAAATAAATGAGTTATATTACCAGAACACGAAGGCAAATGATTGACTTGCCAACCAAGTCGTAGCAAGTCTACTTCTGAAGCAGAAAAAGAACTGATTGAAAAGTACTAGTACAACTTTAGGCATTTAAAATAGGCTTATTTTCTAAAGAATTCTGAAGACAGTCTCTCTTAACTAGACAAAGGCTCCAAAAATACTATTCAGTTAACTTAGGTGTCTGATAGCAGTACGGCATAATTTTGCCTAACTTAGAAGGTTCATTTTTGTTGCTGACCATCTACTCTGCAGAGATCCCCAGACTAGGCAAGATTACTATTTTTGTTGGCTGTTGAATAGCTTTTAATAACCATAAGTTTGTCTGATTTGTTTTATTTACTTATTTAGATGCAGTGGACACAGTTCTAATTGTCAGTTGTCTCATAAACATAAAAGATAGTTGTGCAAGAAATTTTGATTCAAAGTAATTGTTTTGAATGGAAGCATCTTATGTCCCCTGTATTATTTTTTTTTTAATGTGGAATTCTCAACAAGGAGGTCTCACAAAATGCACAGCAAAGGCATGCTCTTTTTTTTTTTTTTTTCTTTTCCAACTGACTTGGAACACTGTTGTACCAATACCCAACATAACATAAAGAAACATCAGTGACACTTTTTTTTAAAAAAAAAAATTTTTTTTTTTTTTTTTTGTAATTCAGCATTGTTCTAATATTACAATAGGTTTGGTCAGATTTAATCTTGTGCTGCTTAGATTTCATTGTGATTTATAAGTTTAAATTAACAAAATTAGGAAAACTGAAACAAATAGCAGAAATCTGAGATTTTATTGGAGAAAAAAAAAGTAATGGATTTAATTATCAAAGTGAACAGTATTGATGGTTCTTCATCATTTTGTCGTAGGTGGAGCTGTTTCGTACTGCTCTAGCGTACAGCACTCGGGTACTTGTCATTCTTAATCAAGATTTCACAAAGAAAAAAATAAATCTGTTTTTCCATTGAGGCAGTATAATTGTAAACTAATTTTTTGGTGAAAAAGACTGGTAGTTTTTGTGGACTTGTGTAGACCTTTGCAAATCCCCCAGTGTCTTCTTCGCATAGTAGCCTAAATACTGTTTTATAAATAATTATTTTCATTTTTTATATTAAAGTATTTGCATATATTATTATGAACTTCTTTGAATCTGTAGGTATCAAAAATAGATATAACAGAAATAGACTACACATTTCAGTCTTTATTTGAATTCTCTTTAGATCTATGTGGGCTGCTGATGAGTGGGATTTCAAGAACGTACTACTACACGAGGACATTTTCTTTAGTTTTTTTTTCTAATAGATCATTTTTTGAAAATTTCTTCTACGTGTGTTCTTGATAAAATTCACCTGGATGTTGCTTTTCTTTACTCATATGACGAAAGATTAATTTCCTTCTTATAGAATCATAGAATCACAAGGTTGGAAACGACCTACAAGATCATCCAGTCCAACCATCTCATCACCATTGCCACCACTAATACTAAACCATATCACGCAGCACGTCATCCAGATGCCTCCTGAACACTGAGACGCCTCTTGAACACTGAAATTATTGTAAGCTTGTAATGCTGAGATCAATTTTGTATTTGAAAATGAACTAATCTAACTTTTTAATAGTATTTTTGAGTTTGAAAACTTGAATTCTAGGATCAGCCTTGGAATCTCTGTTAATTCAGTTTCTTAACTTTCTCTAGCAAGGACTGCAATATTGAGTTCAACAAATCTGTCTGTGCTAGTTGATGAACAAGATTTTAGTATTTCTCAGGAAATGGGAGGGAAACTGTGGGGCATGTACACTTCAAAAGCCATTTTTTAATAAGCATCTACAGTAGACATGTTTTTGTTTGTTTGTTGTCATGGTTTTGTAATTTTGCTATCTGTATTTCACATCATAACATCATGTAAAGCAAGGATAATTAAAGAGTTAATAATCCAGTTCTGTGGACTGACAACTTTTCGGATACCTGATTCTCAGAACAGAAGAAGAACTACATATCCCAGAGGACTTCACGGTTAGAGAGGAAGATAAGTCATAGGAGGAAGTCACAGGATCTCACTCTTTGTCTGGAGCTCTCTCTCGCTCACTGTCTGGCAGTGTGTGTGGGTGTGCTTCCAAGCCGTGTGCTCCCTGTTCCAAGTAGGCCTTTTGGTTTTGAATACTCTCTTATTTTCGTTGATTCTTATTTTCTTTGGTTTCTTATTTTCTTTAATTTATTAGCCTCAATTTAAATTAGAATGTATTATATTGTGTTACCTTGCATTCCGATATCATATTTAGTAAAATTAAGTTTTCCTCTTTAGATCATTGCTGCTGTTCTGTTTTTGAACCCATCTCCCTACCTTTCCCTTTTTCCATTCCCATTTTTGGAGCCATGGGACCCACGGGCCTACTGCCTCCTGTGACAGGTGTAGATGTATCAAGATAATTCTGTGACAGTTTTTGGTGGAGAATGCAGGCATTCTAAAGCTTTTAATGTTAGCAGGAAAAAAAAAAAAAAAAAGAATTCCTTTAAACCCAGAGACTTTAGAAGCATTGGTACCTACTTTGACCTTCATAGATTAGATTGTAGTCTGGGCAATCTGCCAAACTCTGAACACTGTACGAAGTGTTTTTTGTTTTTGTTTTTCCTTTTTAACAGCTACCAGCTATGAATCTGCTTTTTATTTTAGGAGCGCTGTCTAAGGGATTAAAAGCCATTACGTTTTTTGGAACTTACTGGCCTCCTATTAACATCATGCTTTCTTGTTGTGAAAGTGTGTTTATATATCACTGTATAATCAATGAATATACAGATGTTATAATTAAGAAATATACAAGAAATATAGGCTAAACAGGTTATCATGCTAAAGAAGAATGGATGGAAAGTTTACCCTTGCCCTGGGCTCACTGAGAAGACTCCAAGAAGAGCGATCTCCAAAAGAGATCGTTCCTCACTGGTAGTCAGCTCTTAAATAGGGTCTAAAAGAGGTGGAGCCAGGCTCTACCCCTTCCAGCAGCACAGGAGGATCATCTTCACCTGTGCTCCCAGAGCTGACTCATTGCTCACCTCGAGTGGTCAATCAGAGGTTCAGGAATATTCTGCAGTTCCCATACACATCACCAAGTAAGGGTACTGATGGAGACACCTGCCTGGTACTTATACGCATTGTTGTATGATTTGAATTTTGACACTTACATCCCAGATGGAATAGCTAATTTTACAAACAACACGATGTTCAAACTGATTTCCAGGCTTTCTTCTCAGTTCATCACACATTTTTCAAATGCTGAGTTAGTGGTCATGCTTGTGTTCATACTCTTGTGCATGTACTCCCTGAATGTACTCCTCTCCATTTGTGTTATGTGGAAGAAGCCTCCTCCAGAACCAGAGAATGTTGACTGGGAGGGAATACGGAGAGGTTTAGGAAAAATCTTAGAAGCATGGGGACCCACAATGTCATGGGATTTCACTCCTGAGGAACTAAGCCAGTATTTGAGTCAGTGATGGTGCGGCCTACATATATTTAAGGAGGTACAACTTATTTGGGGTTTGGCTTGTGCTTACTACACTCTATATAATACTATTCTGGAGAGAGAGAGTTTCCAAGCTGAAGGTTCAAGCCAAAGGGAGAAGTCTCCAAGTCAAATTTGATCAGACACAGGAGACACCAGTAACAATGTCAGTTGCTCCTGTGGAAGGCAAGAAATTCAAACGGGTGTCCTCGCACCTAGAACTTGTGAAAAAAGAAGAAATGGAGGAGGAGGTAGAGGAAGATCCATGCGAGGTGCCCTACTCAGAACCACTATCATCTGGAAAGACAACAGGAAAAAGAGACATGGAGAGGAGAGTGATGGAGTCTCTATTACTGTTCATTGACTTCTGAAGATGACTGAAATCCAAGGCTCAAGAAAGGAGTTTACACGGTGCCCGAACAAAACTCTTGTTACCTGGTTGCTTCACTGTTTGGATAGTGGGGCCTGTAGCTTGTCTCTAGGTGGTAACAAAGCTTGCCAACTAGGAGGCATTGCCAGAGACTCAGCTATTGATAGAGGGATTAGTAAATATTTGGATGGAGCTGCCACCCTCTGGGAACGAGTGTTAGTAGCCGTGAAGGAAAGGTATCCCTTCACAGACAATCTGAAGCCTGAGATGAGAAAGTGGAATACAACTGAAAAAGTTATCCAGTATTTGAGGGAAATAGCCGTGGTGGAAATGTTGTACGACCCTATGTTTTTTCCTAACAATCCACACCAAGACCATGATCCTGAGAGTGAGAACAATGACTGATATATGGCAGAAACTCACAAGAACAGCACCAGACAGGTATGCTGATACACTAGCAGCAGCGTTTGAAAGATACAAGGACCAACAGAGAAGACCCCCAGTTTTTGAACTGATACTTACACTTCACAACTTTGAACAAAAGCTACCCAGAGCTCACGCTTCCATTTCAGCCATCTCACAAGTAACAGACAGACTAGATGAAATGAGTGATTGTCTCTATTGACAAATTGTGACAAACCCATAGTAGAATTAGAAACGCTTGAAGATCAGGATGATGAAAGAAGTCTAATGAAGGAGCTAATCAAACTAATGAAAATTCAACTAATTAAAGGTGATGAACATGTATCACCTGTATCCTCACCTGTATCATCAAAAATCTCACCTATTAAAGACAAACGCTTTCCTGCTCAAGCAAAAAACAATAGTAAAACTACATCATGTATAGCTTTGTGGCGTTACCTGTGTGACCGTGGAGAAGACAAAGAAGTGGCATGATCAAACCACTCCTGTACTACAAGCACAGGTGAGAGAATTACAAAACAAATCAATCATCAATGTAGTTACTTCAGTTCTACAGGTAATGAATAAAGGGGCCCTGCCCTAATCGGAGGTGGAAGGGATAATAGAGTTTATTGGACTGTGTGGATTAGATGGCCTGGCACATCAGAACCACAGAAATATAAGGCCCTGGTGGACACCGGTGCACAGTGCACTCTAATGCCCTTGAGACACAAAGGGACAGAATCAATTCGTATCTCTGGAGTGACTGAGGACTCTCAAGTATTGACTGTACTGGAAGCTGAAATAAGTCTCACTGGTGAAGACTGGCAAAAACATCCTATTGTGACCTGGCCCAGGGTCTCCATATATACTTGGTATCGATTACAGAAGGGGCATTTCAAGGATCCTGAGGGGTATCGATGGGCCTTTGGAATAGCTGCTGTGTAGACACAGACAACATTAAGCAGCTGTCTGTTTTGCCTGGCCTGTCAGAAGATCCGTCTGTTTTATGGTAGCAACCATTAAAAGAGCAGCAAGTTCTGACTGCCACAAAAATGTGCACAGATGTTAGTACTGCATCAGCAGGGATTCCTTGCTCCCCATTCATAAGTTGATCCGTCAGCTAGAGAGACGGAGTGATCAACAAAACTCACTCACCTTTTAACAGCCCCATATGGCCAGTGCGTAAAGCTAGTGGAGAATGGTGTGGTGGTAGACTACTGAGGCCTGAATGAAGACACACCCTCATTGAGTGCTGCTTTGCTGGACATGTTAGAACTCCAGTGTGAACTGGAGTCAAAAGCAGTCAAATGGTATGCCACCACTGATACTGCTAACGCTTTCTTTTTCATTCCTTTGGCTACAGAATGTAGGCCAGTTTGCTTTCACCTGGAGGGATTTTCAGTATACTTGGAACTGTTCGCCCCAGGGATAGAAACACAGCCCAACCATTTGCCCAGGGTTGGTCCAAACTGTACTGGAACAGGGCAGAGCTCCTGAGCATGTGCAGTACATTGATGATATTGTTGTGTGGGCTGATACAGCAGAAGTTATTTTCACAAAGGGAGAACAAATAATAGCAAAACTAGCCTGCAAAAGAATTTGGATTAAGCAAAGCAAAGTGAAAGGACCTGTCCGGGAGATTCAGTTCACAGGTATAAAGTGGCAAGATGGGCGTCATCACATCCCAGAAGATGTGATAGACAAAATCATCACTGTGTCTCCACCCACTAGCAAGTGAGAGACAATCTTTTCTGGTTGTAGTGGGCTTTTGGAGAATGCGTGTTCCAAACTACAACCTCATTGTAAGCCCCCTTTATCAGGTGATGCGGAAGAAAAATGAGTTTACATGGGGCCATGAGCAGCAGCAGGCTTTTGAACAGTTTAAACAAGAGAGAGCCTATGCTGTGGCCCTGGGACCAGTACAGATGAGACAGGATGTAAAGAACATCCTCTACACTGCTGCTGGAGAGAAAGGTCCCACTTGGAGTCTGTGGTAAAGAGCCTCTCGAGAGACCTGAGGCCAACCCTTTGGATTCTGAAGTTGAGCATACAGGGGGTCTGAAGAGCACTACGCTCCAACTGAAAAGGAGATCTTAGCCATGTATTGAGAGGGTTCGGGCTGCTTCTGAAGTAATCGTTACTGAAACACAGCTTCTTCTGGCACTTCGACTGCCAGTGCTGAACTGGATGTTTAAAGGAAAGGTTCCCTCCACCCATCATACTACTGATGCCACTTGGAGTAAGTGGATTGCGCTAATTACACAACGAGCTTGGATGAGGAACCTCAGTCATCCAGGAATCTTAGGAGGTCAACATGGACTGGCCTGAAGGTAAAAAGTTTGGAATATCACCATGAGAAGAGGTGTCATGTGCTAAAGAGTCCCCACCATACAATGAACTACTAGAAAGTGAAAAAAAATTTGCCCTGTTCACTGATGGGATCGTGTTGTATTGTGGGAAAGCATCACAGATGGAAATCTGCTGTGTGGAGCCCCACATGACAAGTTGCAGAGGCCACTGAAGGGAAAGGAGAATCAAGCCAATTTGAGGAGGTAAAGGCTCCAACGAGCCTTACATGTTGCTGAACGGGACAGGTGGCCAATGCTTTATCTTTACACTGACTCATGGATGGTGGCAGATGCTCTGTGGGGGTGGTTACAGCAGTGGGAGGAAAATAACTGGCAAAGAAGGGGTAAACCTATTTGGGCTGCTGAACTGTGGAAATACATTGCTGCCCGTATAAAGAATATAGTCATAAAGGTGTGCCGTGTAGATGCTCATGTGCCCAAGAGTCGGGCTACTGAAGAACAACAATTATTACCCTTTATTGATAGTTCAGGCAGGAAACGATGAGATCGCTGATAGAAGCCTGAGGATTATAAAAAATGATTTTAGGAGACTGGGGAAGTTAGTTGGTGGAGCAGGCATATAAGTAGTGTTTGCCAGTATTCCCTTGGCGGCAGAGACAAAAACTGAGACGACCGGGAAAAGCCATCTTATAAATGCATGGCTGAGAGGCTGGTGCAAGTGCA